CTTACTTTGACTAGACCTGTGGTTGTTTAGTTAGACATTGTGGTAGATCAAATAAGCTTTAAACATGCCTCAGAAGAATTGAGATGCTTGAGATGCTTTGGATGAAAGCCTCTACATCCTCACTGACTTATGATACATGAAGAGTCTTTTTGTATTGGAATTTATAAACATGTAAGAATGGAGTGAAAGTTCTTGGCAACAACAACAATAATAGACTCTGGTTTGAATTGACAGGTGGATAGTCGTGATTGGTCTGTGAATGGAAACACCATTTCATTGGATGAGGACATAGTGATCGATGTTCCTGAACCATTCAACCTCACAGAAAATTACTGTGCATCGCTTGGACACAAGGCCAATCACTCCTTCACCCCCAACTGCAAATATGACCCGTGAGTGTGGAAGCCAAGCATCAGATCACCTTACAGATCACTTAATACATTTGGCCTGATAGATGGTCGAAGGACCCCCGGCACTGATGTTCTTTCTGAATGTGGCTGGTGAAGAAGTGCCATGAACCAGTCATGTGTGCAAACATTAAAAAAAGCCTGTGATAGGCAATAGCCCTGGGGTCGGCAACCCCAATGTTAAGAGCCATTTTGTTCTTTTAGCAAAAATCAAAACACCTTGGGAGCCACAACATTTTATGTCCATTTTACCATCATGGCTTCTAAATATGTCTCATTATGTGCTAATGTCCTACTATAGGCAAAAAAATTTAGCAGATTTACTTTGCTCTGCTTTGAGTTTTAGCTCAGCTAAAGCTGCTTTTCTCACATCTCCACCAGGAAACTTTTCCAAAAGAAGAATAGTTTCTTGTAAAATGTCTCTCAACGTTAGATACGAGGCTGAAGTCAGCTTTTCGTTTGAATTTTCCTGTTCCACCTCAAATCGTGCCTGCTGAGAAACTGGCAAACAGGAAACTGACTTCAGCTTTGTGACTTTTTAGTGTGTTCTCATTGCAGATTAAACATATCAGGAAACCAGCTGAGTGATTAAAAATGCAAATAAGTCCATTCATCAAATTATCAATGTTCGTCTGAAATCTTTCTCTTTGCCTTGTCGTTACCTACGAGCTAGGCAAGATTCTGATCTGCATTGCTATGGTAACCAGCAGTCTGTGGACCAACCTTCAGGGTTAAAGGGTGAATTAGCAGTTATACATTAACTCCAGCATGTAAGACCATTTATTGTTAAAACTGTGTTGAACGATCAGCAGAGCTTTATTTTACTGCAAAGGAGGATTATTTTATTTACCTAAAAACTCAATAGAGTCTGGCTGCAGACATGCACTCTCAGCCAGATGCACTCTCAGCCCCAGTGACGTCATGTGCACATGCACTCTGCCACAATGGCCATTGGCTGCTTCTGCTTAGCGATATCATCACTTTATCCATTTTCCGTCCATAACGCGGCTAGAGAATTAGATTTAATGCACCTCCCTGTTGAAAAAAAACATAGAACCCATTAAAAGTGTCTGTTGGTTCCTGGTGGTTTTCAGCAGTCGATAATGGTATTCCGTGTTTTCCTGATGGGTTGATATCACAGTGTAAAGGATTCTGATTGTTTAATCAGCTCTTCTGGGACTGATTCCACATATATTTGATTGTTTGCTAATGGCCTCTAATGGCAACCATCAAGTCAATACAGCAAAACCATCAGGTTTTATTCCTAACGGCCCTGCAAACACAGTTACATTGGACCACGCTGTTTTGGTGCACACAGCGTTGTCTGCTTGGTGCTCTCTACATTGTCACAATGTTGAAATGTAATTCCTCAGAAAGTTATGACAACGTTGTCTGACAACTTTCTAGGAGGTTATGACAACATTGACAAGACAGCAAAAGTAATCGCTACTACGTTGACTGTACATTGTCACAAACTCCTAGAATCCTTAATAAGTTCTATTTTAATTAATATTACAGTTTTTGATATCCGGTTCTAATCGTCAGCAGCCTGGCTTTCATGAATTCCAGCCATAGCCTTTTTGTTTTTTCTGTGAATAAACCCGACATTCATGTCTTATCGTCGTGGTAGGTTTTATTTTGAGTATTTTATTACCAGTATGACAACATTAATATACATTCAGTGTAACTCTTGTTGCCCGGCAGTACGTGGTTCGCTGTTTTTACTCATAAAAACGACAGAAACACTGTCGTGGCAGAGTGCTCACGAGAGAGGTCATCAATAGGCTGGCGGTGCATGTCAGGCTGAGATTGCATGTCTGCAGCCAGACCCTTCTCAAAAATCTAACTCTGCTGTGGAGTGACAACTAGCCAGTCATGCAGAGTCAGGTGAATTTAGTAGGCTATAATTTATCCCATTTTATCCTGTGTCCATTTATTCAAATCTATTCACATCATGTTAGCCAAACACACAAAGTTTGTGTCATAACATCTCGTCTTTCCTCTTTCGTCTTAAGGTTTGTCCATCCTCGCTTCGGGCCGATAAAATGCATTCGGACAATCCGAGCGGTTCAAAAAGACGAAGAACTGACGGTTGCGTACGGTTATGACCACGAGCCTTCAGGGAAGTCAGGTCCAGAGGCTCCAGAATGGTACAAACAGGAGCTACGCGAGTTTCAGGAGAGAGAGGCGGGAAGGGGAGCTAAGGACACTTGTTAAAAACTCTCCCAGCGCAGCGACACCCCAATAACACCCCCCCCCCAAGAACCTCCCTCATCACGCCAAGCAGCCTAATACCACCTTGGATCTCCAGACCTCCCCTTTTACTGTCTTGCTGTTACATAGAGCTAACGCTGTTTTTAATACTTTCTCACACTTCCTCTCAACCTGCGCTCTTTTCTGGTTGAGTTCTCTTCAATTCAGAGGCTAAACATTAGACTTCAGAGACCTTTTCCCTCTTAGCTACTGAAGAACCTGAGAGACTTTCTTGTTCTACAGTGAGGAGGTGCTATGACGAGTGAAAGACTGCAAGAATGTAAAGACTACAAAGAGCAATTGAAGCACACGATGTTGTGATTTAGCACCGTGATGTGTAGTGAGAACTATGCACTATTGACCCAAGCAGGTGTTCTTCTCTGCGAACCTCTTGAAGCACTGGCAATGCAGTCTCTGTTACTCTGTGGATGAGTTCCCTTTAGCTATTAGAATTTATCTTATTCACAGCTGATAATAATGACTCCAACAATCACTTTTGCGTAAATGGAGTAGTTCAAACTCTTGTGGCACAGTTATCGTCTGTTGTTATGTTTACCTGCACTGAGAGTTAACCTAAGCGTCAGACACTAATTGTGCTGGGAAGTTCAGTATTATAATCGCTCGCACATTGTAAATACCTGGGTTTTCTGCTTTAGTTGGAAAATCTTAAGAGGAAAAAGGTGATGAAGCACATTTACATTTGTTTGTGTGAGACGGTAGAATGAGTGTGGAAGAATGTCTGGCTGATGATCTTGTGGACACTTTATATGGGACTGAATTCAGGCCTTTGATATGCAATATCTCTAAACCGAGATTTATCAATAAAATATTTAAAACCTGACACAAGTTGCTTCCTATGATTCTCATTCTAATCTAATTTATGGTAGACAGTACAATTATTTTAACATGTTTGTCTGTTTCTTGTATTAATTTTACTCACTTTCAAATTTACACATAGTTCATTTTTTTTCACATTCTTTGTCCAGTCGTATGCAAAGTCCAGGCACCCCTGGTTATATTACATATTACACAACTGAAAATAAGTTAACACATCCTCTACAAAGAACACGCCCACATTTTAATGTATAATTACTGTTTATTTGCTCAACTAAATGTATTGGAAAACCTAAAATGTGGCCTGTGCAAAGGTTATGGCACATTCTATCTTTTATGTTTTATTTTTTTCCAATGTGGTAAACTCAAATAAAGAGAAATTGTGAACTACAAATCACAGAAAATATGTTTTATCAATAAAACATGAAAATTGACCAGAGTGTTTGACAGGGTGACTTTTGCATACGACTGTATAAAGACAAGGTGGCCATTTCTTACCGCCGTCCCCCTAACAGGCACAGTTGTAACATTTATTTACCTATAGAATAACAGAAGTGAACTCTAACCTGTTCTTGAAATTTTACATTCTTCTGACCTGTTAGTGAGCGTATATGTAATACGTAAGATTTCTCTATTCTTTAAACTAATTTACTGTGATTTTAAATGAGTTATTGAATCTTGGTCTGTTGCTTTACACATTGCAGGAGATTAATAGTGCGAATAATAAATGCAATATTGTTAATAGTTATAAGCAATTTGGTTTTTAAATGTTATTTGAAGTGTTGTGTTTACCTTCAACTATGAAATGAACATGGGAGTTAACTTTATTCTGGACTTAATAAACAGTTACCTAGAATAGCATTGTTAACTATTGTTGTTGTCGGAAGAAAAACTCATATGTCCAAAAAAGGAAAAGAAAAAAACATACTTTAGTTTTAATGTCAGTCAATGGAACCAGACTTTTTTCCCCAAGTAATTTTGGGCCGTTTCTTTTGGTCCATTTCTCATGAAAGTTACACACAATGTAAAGAACAACAGGCATGTTCAAATTACAATAAAATGATTTCTTCGACAGCAGCTATATATATATATATATATAGAGAGAGAGAGAGACTTTTTAAAGGCGATACTGAATCAATTGTGCACTTGTACCCACATACCCATGCTGCAATCCAATGTGCTTCATTTCATCCAAACGCACCAAACTCATGCACATAGAGACTTTTATTTTGCCTTCAAATAAGTGCTCTTTAGTGTTTTTTGCAGTGAGGGTAAAGATAAGCAAGTACTTCTGAATGAATCTTTTTTTTTACTTGCATATTTTAGATCACTGTGTAGGATGTATATGTATTGTGTAGTGGTGCTTTTATCAGTTAATTAAAAATGAATCTGTTTAGCCACGGTGCTTTCTACGTTAATCACGTAATTAATTATTTATAACTTTAGCACAAATGGCCAATAGCGTTACAGCTAGGCCACGCCCACTGCACGGAGGGGGCGTGTTCAGGTAAATTAGTGACTCACCTGCTGCGAAGGCAGAGGCCCGGAAGTTAGAAGATTCAGCAACGGAGAACAACGGAAAGGTAATCGTGTTTTATTAAGTATGAACGATATGTTTTCTTTTTCTTTATGAAATGTAGTGTAGTCATAAACATTAGAGCGATTCCCATCACCGCTCTCTTTAGACTTCCTGGGAAAAAAATAATGCCAAATGAATCTGGTTAGAGTTTAATGTCAAAGTTCATGGTTTGTAAATTAAACAGGGCGAATGGACGAAGGAAACTGGTCAGATATGAACCGAGTGAGTTAATGGGGGAAGCATCGAGACCAAAACGGTTTCTCTTCGTTTAAGCCCAGTAAGCCTCCCAGTCAGTCTGTATAAACCTCTACATTCACAGTGATGCCGCATGGCAAAGGCACACCGGTCACATCCTCGTTGTAAGCCTTAATATTAGACCCTCTTATAAAGGGGAATTCCACCAATCTTTCAAACTTTGTGCATAATTCATTGGTTGAGATGTGAACAAAGGCATTTAGAAATGGTTTGATGTGAAATTATTCATTACAAATAAACTTTTAGAATTATTTACAGTGATGCTGATAGGAACCAGGAGTCCAGACATCTACAAGACAAATATAGTCATTAGTCAAATATAGTCATTTTTATTTATTTACCTATTTACTTTATCTAAAACCTCCAGTGAATCTTCATGTGTCTGAGTTTTTATATGTAATGTTGATGGTAAAATAGGTGTAAATCTGAAAAACAAAAGTTTTCTTTTGGGGACTATTTTGCCTAATAATGCCCTGTCTGTACCTCTCCACCATGAATGTATTACGAATATGTTTTAGGCCAAAACCTTGTCTGAGCTACTTTAAAACAATGTCTCGGACATCAGGCAGTGTGTTCATAACCATTTCTTGTAATAACTTTCTGTGAGGGAGCTTTTGGAGCCATGAATCTCTTCAGACGTCTGGTTCCTATCACCAACACTGTGAACAGTTCTGACTGTGTGCGTTTCTCTAGAAAGGAGCATTTTACAACAAATCACTCTGAATGACTTTGTTTACATCTTAATGATTTCATTTAGCAGTATCTTTTTTGTAAAATCTGTGAAATTTCAGCTTTTGTGGGCTACATTCATAGTACACCATTTAAACGCATTTAAAAATTACTGTTACTGTCACAAAAGCTGAGTTTAAGCACAAAGTACATCAGTATGAGTTTAGATAAATGCTGAAAATGTAAAATGTAAATGTAGATGTGCCAGTGAAATGCCAAATGCTCAGCTACTGGAACAAGTTTGGCCTTGTAGAAAGAAGAAAAGTGTTAAATATACATTTTTTATGTAATTGGACTTTAAACTGCATCATGGACTTTAAGGAACTTTCACAGTGCATCAAAGTAAATACACTTAGAGAGTCCATATCCTATAATTGTCTTTGTGTATAATTGTAATTTGTTTTTCCCTGTGTTCCACTTATGATGCTTTTATGATTCTATGTACCAAAAAAGTATCATAATTCATTTTTATATGACAATTTTCCAACCTCTCTTTATCTCTTAAAAATAAAAAGGCTGTTTTTGTTACTGTGCCTTTAAGACTGATAAGTAAATGATTTCTGTTCAGATTTGCTGCCTTATATTGTGCCTCATTCAGAAAGCAGTCTTGACTAAAAGTCTTTCATTGGGAATGGGCAGGGCTAAACTGCTGTATGCATATATGTAAATGCATAGATTTTTGTGACATCATGAAAACAGTGAAAGCAGGCAGTTTAAATTCCACATATCAACATCATGAACTGCAGATTGAAGGGTACGTTTTAAAAGTTTAACACTTTTTAGGAACACAGTTTATTTAAGAAAGTGAAGGGAATTCCATGGTACTGGCCCTTTAATAATGTATTTCTTCTTGGCACTAAACTAGCCCGTCATTTTACATGATCTTATCTTGCAGATCTGCAGATTTAGGTGGCAGAGGAGAACACTGGTACATCCTGGCACATCACTGGCCGAACCTGAGAATGGAGCGCTACAGGTATTTCATCTTCAACCAGAAGGTGGTGGTGGTGTGGGGCATCCTGCAGGTGGCCTGTGCCAGTCTTTGTGTGGTTTGTGGCTTTATGGATGCGGTTTTCCGCATGAGCACCACGCTCAGTGCAACGAGAGCTCCGCTGTGGGCAGGACTGGTGAGTCAGACATGGTCACCCAGTAACTGGACAAACACTGCTCCCTGGGCTAGGAGGCAGGAACAGGAACTGTGTGTTTACTTTAATGCTTAAACCATTTTTTTCACCCTCTTAGGTCATGGCTGTGCCTGGTGTGCTTGCCCTCTTTGCCTCGCATAGGAGAAACCCCATCCTGGTGAGTTTAGTTTTTAATCATTATGGGTACTGCAAGATACTAAAATATAGACAGAAACTATACATTAAATGTCCAAACGTGTCCGGACATCCCTGTTTAATTGGTGAATTCAGATGCTTTAAAGTGCACCCATTGCTGACACAGGTGACCATACAGCTTATATAATCTCCATGGAAAAGCATTGATTGATAAAATGTCACGCTATGGAGCAGCTACACAAGAGCCTTACCCAATGCCAAGCGCGAGCTAGAGCAGAGCTGCCCAAAGCGTGGCCCACAGGCTAAATTTGACCCCTGAGGATGTTTGCCAGAAAAGTACCCTAACCCCTTTTCTCTCTCTCACCTAGTGAGAGAACATATTTCGTACTATATATAGCAGAGGTCTTCAAATAGGGACCGAATCCAGTTTCCAGTCCTAGATTTTGCAGCCGCTGATAGGTGACCAATCAGTTAACTACCACTGAATACAAAATACAGGATTGGAAACTGGATTCAAGATCTGGATCTGAAGACTGCTGATGTTTAGCTTTTTGCATTTTTTTGCCTTGTAATAATGTAGTTTATCAAGTATTTTACTTACAAAATATAGAGTAATTTTATAAAATCCTTTTTTCCCCCCAACATAAAAGTTGCACTTTGGCTCCCAGAACAAAAAGTGGTTTGGGCTAGTGGGGTGTAAAGCCCAGCACTGGGCTGTGGAACAGTGGAACTGTGTTCTCTGGAGTGATGGGGCTTCATCCAATACCTTTAGGATGACTTGGAGTGATCCAGAACTGATCATCCAACATCAGTGTCTGACCTCACTATTGCCAATGTGGCTGAATGCAATCAAATCCTCACAGCAATGTTCCAACATCTGTTGTAAAGCCTTCTCAGAAGAGAACCGCAGCAAGTTCCCATTAATACATTTGATTTGAGAGGAAAAGCTGGAATGATCAGGTGTCTACAAACTTTTGGCCACTTACTGTATATAGGAATTATTAAAGACCATATTTTAGATCATATGATGCTGGTATGATCTATCAAAATCTGCACCTAATATCTAGAATGAAATATTTTGGTGTTATCACATCATCACTGTTGTGACAAAATCTTTCTTCGTTTTGTTGTTTTTCTTTTTAAATGTATGTTTCTATATTTGGTCCAAAATTACTTTTTAATTAACGCACATCGAAAGTCCCAAAGGTTTTTCTCTTCTCTCATAAAGTTACCATTTTAGAAATCTGGAGATTTTGTTCTAGCAGATGATATGTAGGAGTTTAATTTGCTTGTTAGTCATAATTACCATCATGTTCATATTCACATCCACTCCCTCAGGTGAATGTCATGATCGTGTCCGCTGTGATGTCTTATATGGCCACTGTGATTGTGCTCATCTATGCCGGTGTGACGCTCAGCTATGGAGAGGAGGATGATGAGCTCTTTCACCCCCGTCATGTCGCTGAAGTGGTACAGTCTTACTCAGACCATTCCGATCTGTCACCTCCACTCACCCGACCTGCATCACTATAACTGTTCCCATGCTAGCACTGATAAAGGGGTTGTGCTCCAGTGGCACAGATTTGTATGCACAGCCAAATAGAAGTGTCAAAAAGAGTTCTTGGCAGCGATGCTATAAAAACCACTTTTGGTTTCCTGAAGATTCTTTATGGCTCTTTTAAAGAGGAATTCCACTGATTTTTCTAAATTTCTATATAATTAAATGGTGAATATACACTGACCAGCCACTTCGTTAAGTACACCTACCTTGTTTCTACACTCACTGTCCATTTTATCTGCTCCACTTTCCACTTACTCCACAAACCAAAATATCTAGCTAACACTGTCCTCTGGGCATCGTTCCGTGACCACTGATGGAAGGACTAGAGCAGTGGTGTCAAATCTTATCCGCAAAGGACCAGAGTGGCTGCAGGTTTGCAGTCCAAAGAAGCAGGGGCACAGCTGATTCCAGTCATTCAGCCAGTCGGTCTCAGTCTTCAACAAATGGTCATGCGTGCTTCTGCTTTGTTGGAATGGAAACCTGCAGCCATACCAGCCCTTTGCAGATAAGATTGGACACCCCTGGACTAGAGGATGACCAACACAAACTGTACAGCAACAGATGAGCTATCGTCTCTGAATTTACATCTATAAGGTGGACCAACAAGGTAGGAAGGTCTAACTCCAGCAGCACTGCTGTGTCTGATCCACTCGCACCAGTGCAACATACACTAACACACCACCACCTCAGCACGTCAGTGTTACTGCAGTGCTGAGAATGATCCACCACCCAAATAGTACCTGCTCTGTGGTGGTCCTGTGGGGTTCCGGACCATTGAAGAACAGGGTAAAAGGGGGCTAACAAAGTATGCAGAGAAACAGATGGACTACAGTCTGTAAATGTAGAACTACATTGCACACCTATGTAGTAGTTGGGGCTGATAAAATGGACAAAGAGTGTAGAAACAAGGAGGTGTGCTTAACGAAATGGCCGGTCATATAACGCATGATGTGTCGCAACAAACCGCTTTGACTTTGTTTACATCTTAATGATTGAATAACGCAGAAATTTTGCAAAACTGTTGGAATTCCCCTTTAACCAGTACACATACCACACAGCATCACCTCAAAGGCTATGAACACTGCTCTGAGACTAATGCATGCTACACTTTCACAGCTTCAGTCCTCACTGTAACCTAATCTTTATTGATCTATGGAGTGAAACAGCCTTTGTCTCATGCTATGAAACTACTGTAGTATATCTTGTTGGCTGTCTCACACTAAGAAGCTTTTAAATGGCTGTTTTGAGTGTCTGTGTGCTGTGTGTCCCATGCAGAAGTTTGTGCTGAGCCGTATGGTGAAGGGAGCGAACAGCACTATGGTTCTAGCCAGCGTGGGCTCGCTGCTCTTCTCCTCGCTGATCATGATCGTGGGCTGCCGCAGTCTGCCACTCTGCGGCTGCTATGACTCAGTCACTGGCATGGTGGGTACACACTGTAGAGTTTGGACTATGACATAATAGCACATCAAGGTATGAGTTACACCACAAGTACATAAGTAGGCATGGACCACAGAGAAGAGGGGGAGGGGGTGGTGTTAGCTCACCCATTCTGTTATGTGTGCATGAATGGAGCAAAACATTGACATTGTGTTAGTTTGTGTCCTCTGTCCTAATGATCTCAGGCATGTATGACATATGAAAGGAGTCTTAATTGTGGCAAATGATACTATAAGTAGGAGGCTGCTGTCTTCCTGAGCCACATCTGCTCAAAGTTACAGCAGCCACCAAAACATAGTCTGTGTCTTTTTGTTTTATTGAATGTTATATACCCTATATAATCTGTTTAAAATGGAATTCCAATTATTATAAAAAGATGCATAGGTAAATCATTAAAATGTAAACAGAGAGGTTTGGTGTGAAACGCTCCGTTCTAAAGAGACCGAGTCAGAATCGTTCACAGTGGTGGTGATAGGAATAGACGTCCACCTCTGAAAGCTCCCTCACATAATAATATTAAACGAAATGGTTGTGAATAATACCTGAGATATTGTTTAATTATAGCTTTGAGAAGGTTTTGGGCTTAAATGTATATAAATGGAGAGGTACACGCACTCATGATTTTTAAATCTAAATAATTTGATGGGGAATTTTGAAAAAATCAGTGGAATTCCCCTGTAATGTTATACACACTATGCATTTTCTACCCTTGCGTTGCCACATTTGTTGCATACAAAAAAACACCATGCATGATCATGAGTAAGCAAGTCACAAGACTGTGCGTAATAAATTTATTGTATGCATAATAAAAGTATATTGTTAAAATATGTGTCATAAAATCTGAGACAGTCTAAATAAAGTATTGCAGAAATCTAAACAAATCGCTACGCTGTAAAAGGTGTAAAAGGGCAGAAGCTGATTTAAAGTGTGTCTGTGGTTTGAGCCTAACAAAAAGTTTCATTGTTTTGCCTAAAGTGTTTAAATCAGTTTAACTGTTTGCTGCCATGTGAAGTAATTTTTTAAGTTGAACTGCCATTTTTTACAGTGTAGATCACTAATAATCAAACTACATTTTAGCTAATCTAAAAATTGATCTCGGTCTGACTCACTGTGTGCCTGTTTATGTTTCGCAGGAGTCACTGGTCCCTCAGAATGACCCGAGTGATTCAGCCGAACTGGTCTGCTCCTGGCACGGTAAGTCAATGTGTTGGGTGGGTTAGATAGGGGTATTTAGCCTGCTGAGCATTTACAGTCCTGCAGAGTCCAGTTTAATTGTAATTTAACATCCTAACCCAGTAATCAGATCCTCAGTAGGATCTGAACGTCACAACAAAGCGTACCAGGGCTGGAATTAAAGCGCACATATTGTATATTTTCTTGTATTTTATTTTTGTCCCTGAGGTTCACTTCTGGTGTGTGTGTGTGTGTGTGTGTGTGTGTGTGTGTGTGTGTGTGTGTGTGTGAGTCATAATTTAATTTTAAATAACTGTTTTTACATTTTCCAGCCTCTCTTTCTCCCTTAGAATTAAACAGGCTGTATTTGTCACTGTGCCTTTAAGACTGATAAATAGTCTATTTCCAAAAAAACATGCATCTCCATTTTGGTCGATTTTAATAATAATATTTTTTTTAATCATTTGAACACAGCAGCTGTCCTCTATATTGTGTGAAAATTCCATGATGAATGGACCAATAGAACCTCTTTACATTAGAACATTTTTGCGTTCTCCTGCGAAGTTTTGGAGATGCATGTTTTCTGTCAGGTCTTGCGCTAAATTCAAAAAGTGATCCAGGCTGAAACATTCCTTATAACTTCAGCGTGAACGTGTGAATGTTTTGTGACATCACAAACTATGAATTCAAAACGAGCTGTTTTTGCAGCTTAGTTTCCATATACATACATATACATAAGGTTTGTCTTAAAACCTTACCAGTGTTTACATACTACACTCTTAAAAATGATGGTTCTTCAGGGGTTCTTTAGTAAAGAAACTGGTTCTATATAGAACCATGAACACTCAAAGAACCCTTTGCATAATTAGAGTTTATTGCATTGTGAAAGGGTTCTTCAGATTGACGGAGAATGTGCTGTAGATGGTTCTATATAGAACCTTTTTTGAAAAGGGTCCTATAAAGCACTAAATAGGGTTATTCTTTGGTGCCAAGTCTGACATCGTAACAATAGAAGAACCCTTTTTGGTGCTATATGAAGCCTGTTACAGCACATTATCCATCAATCTGAAGAACTCTTTCGTGATGCAAAAAAACCCTTTAATCATGCAGAAGGTTCTTTGAATGTTCATGGTTCTACATAGAACTATTTTCTTTACTAAAGAACGCTTAAAGAACCAAAATTGTTAAGTATGTACATGAATTTGGTTTACCATGATATGGGTGCTTTAAACTCTTGAGGGCAGTAGGTCTATAAGAGCGGCGCTGGGCACCTCTAGGGCGGTAAAATGTGGATAAGTTCATAAGCAATTCCACAAATTCTGTTCAAATGCAGTCTCCGCACGCCTCTTTCCCTTCACCTGAAAAAGTTTGAAAGTAACTACATTCACTACCTGTTACTTGTTATCATATGTCCCAAAAGGAGAGGCGTGAGAAGAGGCCTGGTGAGAGCTTCTAGTACTTTTTATTGATGAAAAATTCAGTATCAGCCCATTTATTTAACCATGTATCGTTTAGTTATGACAGTATCTACTGAGCCATTTAAAGGACCTGTATTAAAAAAGGAGAAATGAATTTTCCTCACATTTTATGATGAGAGTATGTAAGCATTGTTTACAGTTTCAGAATGAACCGGTCTCCACTCATTCATGCTGAAGTTATAAGCTTGGATTGCCTTTTAAATGACACACAATACAGGGCTGCCAATCGGAACAGAGCTCATTTACATACACAGTTGTATGTGGAAGATTTGGTGCCCCTGGTCAAAGTATGTTCTGTTGATTTTCTAAGTGAAAATAAGTTCAAATCCTCTACAGAAAACACACTTCTGCACATTTAACGCACAATTACTGTTTAGTTACTGTATTTAACATAAACACAGCCTTTTTTCTTAGTAGGTTAACTGTAGAAATTGTGCACTAAAATTGGCAGAAAAGTTTTCCCTTCAAATCGACATGTGATTTGATCATGGGCGTTCAGACTTTTGCACACAACTGTAGTAGTCTTAAAGGCACAGTAACAAAAAAGCCTGTGTAATGATAAAGGATTGAGAAGTTGGCAAGTAGTTGCATAAAACTGAATTAAGCAACTGTTTTTGGTACATTAATCCAAGCATAAGTTAATTAATAATTAATGTAAATGGAGGATAATTTTCAATATCAAAGCAAACTTTTCAGCTAAAGCTCCAGCTGTAATATTCTCCCCAAATCTGTTTGTTTTATTTTGACTTTAAACACAATGCTGCATCTCTTGCAGGAGGAGAAGAGCGAGTGTTTAACTCTCCGGCGTCCTTCATAGAGCCATGCGCTGAGCGAGAAGAGCCCTCTGCTCTCCCTCCCTACAGCAGACTCGCTTAAAAACTGCCATCTGTGCCAATGAGAGGATTTGGAGTAAACTGGCCTGGTCACTACACCGATCAGTTTCAGTGTCTAGGCCACTAAAGCTGTACCTTTCCTCAGCACGGCTTTGGAAAAATATCAGACTGGCCTTCTTAAGTTCTTCAGAGGACATTTCCATGTGTTTCCATACATTTCCTTATTTTATGAATTTGTTTGGTTTGTTTGGTGCCAAAGGCAGATTTTATTTTATGTCCTTTTTAATCTTTGCTTTAATTTAATTTAATTTGTGGTATTCAAACTGTATATATTGTTAAATAACCACATAATTTTGTTAAATATTTAAATACAGATGTAATTTATAGCTAATAAGGACAGTTTACGTGACAGTTCCTTCAGAGAATTCTCTATTTTGCAGGTTTGAGTGGATATCCATTTTATATACTAAATAGTTTGTAGCCCTGATTAAAATGAATTTGAAACTAAGACACAAATGCTGCGTTTGCCGGCATATTCTTGATGGTATCCATTAGCTTAGCATGTTCTGTTTTTGTTCTGCTTTCAATAAAGCCTTCAATGAAGCTTTGCACCTTTTGTCAGATAGTATCCACAAAGAAAACACAATGAGACTGTTTGAAATGGATATGGTGCTTTATTTCAAGGTCTGACTGAAATGAAAACCACAACAGTTTTGATAAACTTAACTCTGCTCTTTCATTTTGTTCCATGTCAATAAACTGGCACGATAAGTCTGACGTGCATGGTCACAGAGTCATTAAAAAATGTAACATTATTTCGCTGTTCTCAGAAGAAAACCTTGTATCTCCAAAATGGTAACTTTACAGGAGAAGGAAAAAACCTACTTTACTTTTAATGTAAGTCAAAGGAACCAGACTTTTTTCCAAGTTATTTTGGGCCGTTTCTTTTGGCCCATTCATACATACACAATGTAAAGGGCAACAGGCGTTTTCAAATTATGTCAAAAACTGAAAAATGTCAGAAATGGAGATGAAGGTTTTCTTCCGACAACAGCAAAATGTTTGATCTGATACAATAAAACTTATTTCTGTATGAATGAAAGCATTTCTGACCGTTAAAAAACACAAAGCCATTATTAAAATCCTGAGAAACAAAACCATTACCAAGAAGATGATATCTTTTCTGGGCCTGCAATATTTCATTTTTAGGCACACAAAAAGGAAAATGAGGATTAAAATGAAAAGGACACTTGAAATAAACCATTTTGGCAACCAAAACAAGAAGCAAAGAGTGAGCTACTCAACCAAGATCCAGTCAACCAAGAACACTGCAGTATTAGGCCTTAACTGCTAAAAGAGTGTCGTACGATGACCTACACTTAATTAAATGCAGATCACCTGTTTTTAACCCAAGACCAAGGAAACGCCTGTTTAAAACCCCTTTTTTTCCTATGCAAAACAAATGATGATGCTAATGGCAGTCAAAGAGACAGAGTTCTTCTGTTATTTACAACTGAAAGCTTCACAACACGTTTTACAGTAATAGCTTGGCAAAAATAAATTTCCGCAATTTCCCCCTCCACCCAAATGTCATCAGCCCAAACATGTTTGGTCTTTGTGGTGTTTTTTTTTTTAACATTGCATTGCTAAAAACAGTAGTAGCAGTCATAGTGAAGCCTGAAGTTTGAGGCCCGTCTGTACTTTTGTCTAATTTTACGGATAACTAACCTCTACGATCATGCAAAATAAAAAGAATGAAATGCTAACAGCTACTCACATCACAACAAATTTATTTGTGCATTTAGAAATGACTGTTTGGAACAGTCAGCATTCCCTGAACAACTTTTTATACAGACTACAAAACTGAATAAATATGTGTATTTTTATTTGCTATACAGGTCTACAAAAAACAAATACATATCTAATTCCCTACAAAGCTCCTTATGGTGATGCATGTTTGTTGTAACAGTAGCCATTACTGCTTCACAGAACACTGGAAGTAGGAATAATCATGTTTAAAGTATATTTACAGGCTAGCAAAGTGTTTTTTGATTTGTGCATTCCTTCTGCATTTGGTCATTTAGTCAAATGGTTACAAATTGCTTGCTCTGAATGCTTCAAAGCATGTTTTAAGCTCAGCACAGGGCAGACCTTGCCAGGCTTCTTCCCTACATTCCTAATTACATCTAATTACATCACTCTGGAGAGGTAATCTAGTCTGTCACCACAGCCCTTAATGTGTTTATTGAGGAAACTCGTTGCAAAATAAAACATGATTTATTGTGCAGCCCTAGTTTGCACAGAGATATAAGTGAGGGATGGGCAATATGGCAAAAATATTACATTACAATACTTTAAGACATTTTACGACACACGAAATGCATCACAATATTTAGTTTTTCTGGGATTTAATAAGTAGGAACAGACAAAATAGAACCCTTAGTGCCACATATAACAAATAATAATAATAATCCTACAACTACAATGATTGCTATTCATTGTTTTACAAACAGCACTGCACTAATCCAATTAAACAGGCCTAATTAAGCCTACCTTGCAATGAAACATGTAGTCAGTGTTCTTTACGATGTCTACAATATACTCAGAAAAGCGTATTGTGGCATAACTGATCACGATAACGATAAAATATCACCATATCGCCCATCCCTAGGTATAAGCCTCCATTACATATACATGCACCACATTAGCCTTGTTGCTCCAGCATAAATTTGATGAAAGTAACTTCAGGCACCAAACATGTTTTAGCTGATTAACCACATTAGGCGGGGGGGGGGGCAATTATGTAAATTTGACTTTTTTGCCCAGCTGTCACTTCTCCTTAAGACTAATAATTTTCCTAAATTAAAAACACTAGGTGAGTCCACGCCTGAGGATTTTCCACAGTGCGCACCACAGGACCTGCTGCGGCGGCTGTGGGAGTCCGTGGGAAAAAAGGAACCACAAACATGCTCAGAAAACAGGGCAGTATTCAGTTCTGGACGCTTCTCAATGCAGCAAAGAGGGACGTGCATGTGCAGGGCTTGTTCGCCTAATATGGCAACACACTCCTAAGAGACTGACATCCTGCAGCCCTAAAGCAGTGTGCATGTCTAGTCATCTACTGTAAGGTTATATGCTGAAAGAGCCATTGTTGCTTATAGTTTAAACTGCTGCTCTAATAGTACAATAACGCCATGCACAGAGCTAACACGGTGCGCTATATGAGGTATGGGTCATACTTCAAGATACTTCTGTGCTGCATATTTGAGGCAACTGCTTCATTTCTAACTGCATCAAAAGATTACAAGGGCATGTACAGAACTGTGGAGAAGTCAGAGACCACCCTTCAAAAACGGCCACAAAGTACAAGCTGTTCATTATTCGGCATCAGGAAAAAGCACATTATATACAAGACAGAAGCCTCAACAACTAAATATTAATTTTTCAATATGCTTCGACTTTTTAAAGCTTTCATTCATTTTCATTAGTCTTGCTTCCAAAGTTCAGCCTTAGAAGTTGGTTTCACTTTCTGCATTCAAACACATTTAGCAATGTTGAGGTCTGGACTCAGTCCATTGTTCTGAGAACACTAACAGCTTTGTTTTGATCTGCATATGTTCCCTCTCCTTTTCTCAATGAGGTTCTTCTTGACAGCTACACATCCTTTCAGACCCATAGCACTGAGTTGTCTTCTCACAGTGGAAGGATGGACAGAAACACCTGTGGATGTTTTCAGATCTGGAGCAGCTTGATTTTCTCCTCTTTCTCAATTCTGAAAGCTTTAAGTGCTGTTTATCTGAGGGGTTAGTTTTGGTGGTCTACCAGGTCTTGCATGGCAGCTTCTAATCATTTCCTGAAATACAGATTTGAACTGCTTCTCCTTTCCCCTTCCTTATGCAAGAGGATTATCTTACATCTAATATCTCTTGAAAAATGAATAACTTGCAATTAATGGCCATTTTGACTGGATGCTGAATAAATTAAGCAAGGTCTCTGAATTTTGCTCAGTACTGTACGGTAGCTTAATATCCATATACAGTATCACAAACAACACTCAACACTGACAGTCATGAGAAGAGAGAAACAGCTTCTCTCTGATTCTAAGGATGACATTTCATACACACATGAATCGTGGCTCACCAGAAAGTTTGTGATGAAATGGAGAGCTCATTTCAGCCTTCCCTGTGCAGTGGATTGTGGTTGTGCAAGTTACAGTACCAAGACAAAGACAATTTAAAAAGAAAGCTACTGACAAGAAGCTGCAATACATACTTAGAGATTAGTGTTTTCATTTCCCTTCATATCCTTCTGAAGTTCCCCTGAGACCCCAGAGAAGCACTACTGACTGTGTCTGTTAGTCTGTTCCCCTACAGCCTTGGTTCACAGATCTGTGTTGTGTGAAATCACAATCATCATAGATTTGTGTCTTTTCTCCTTTTTCGGAGCAAGGTGCAAAAGAGACATCAGTGTCGATGTAAACGTCAATACTCACTACAACAATGATCTGCCATTCAGCCTGAACACATTCACTCTGATGATAATTGCAAAATAAATGTTGCGTTTTCATAGTTGGAAAGATTGATGGCAACATTTTGGAGCGATTATTTAATTTTGTAGCCTGTTGATGACATTGTTTGACTTTGTGATGGAACATGACCTCAACAGTTAAAAAGCAGAACACATTTTTAACCTCTCAAACCCGGAGGGCCGCTTTTCCAGACATGGACCTGGACTAAATCTGACTGCCAATGGTGAATCAACAATGGATACTCTCTGGGTCTGGGAAACTGGCCCTAAGAGTCTGTATGTGGGTCCACACTTCAAGTTCTCATGCTCTCAAATACGTATTAGTTGCACAGTAGTTACTGACTAATGGGACTTAAAGCTACACCATGTAAGTTCCGGGGGTTTGGAGACCTCTCTGGTGGAAATTTGTAATTGCAGGCAACATGTGAAAGAATATATTGTAATTTCGGACCCCTCCACCGAGCAGAGGAGTCTCATCGAAAGAGAATTCGAAGAGAACTCAGTCTAAACTTGGTGAAGGACGCATCTCCTGAGGACATGAATGAATCATCTACTGTTGTCAATATACTGTCATCAGTATAATGTTCATTTTGAATTTGAGACCTAAACATTGAGTCGGATCTTTGTTTTGAGGAGGTGTGTGTTTAATGTGGTCTAAAAAACTCCTGTGAAATCCAACCGGACGCCTCTGACTTTTAAATCATTATTTCAGGCTTTACAGGGCGACTCACAGCAGTGCACGCTCACCATATTTTGGCATGTTTTTTGGTTCAGTAATGCTGCTTCTCTTCATTTTAACAAAAATCTTACATACTGTAGCTTTAAGATTAATAACAGGCCTGGGGTTTAAGGGGTTAAAAGCGGTACAGTTGCATAATAAGGTGCTTGGGATCAGGGAATTTGATCTGAATCTGCGCTCACTATATTGAATTTCCTCTCCTTGAATTTTAACTTTGGAACATAACGGTAAGGATTTACAAGCAGCGTGAAGAACATCTGTAGAATTCAGTTCAGTACAGGTACTGCAGGTACGGATTATGCCTGGGATGCTGTTTATCTGCTTCCATAAAATTCCCTTATGTCTTATCCCTAACTGACGAGTACCAGAAACTGTGAGCTTGTTTTTGCCACAAAAAATGCCAGAGTTTTCAAATCTACCTCGTTGGCTCCTCCCTTTAAACCAGTGACTCTTCCCCCTTCAGCTGCCTACTAAAAGCAGAATGATTTAGCCCCGCCCACTCATTAACTCCTCCAGCAACTGCAGCCCCAGTTCCCCCGCTGCTCATCCTCCTCGTTCCGACTCAGTGTAACGGTGTGGCCCCCGGCCGGCTGACTGAGCACCAGGGGCTTCTGGGACTTCAGCTTGTGTGCCACCGTCATAAAGATGGCCTCCACGTGGTCGCTGCTGTTGCGGCCACCCTCCTCGCCTCCCTGCGGGTTCTTGGCCGACGTCTCAAACAGAGGCATGGAGTGGGCATCTGCGAACTGCTGCGCCAACTCTGTGCTCACTTGGGCCAGGTGCCGCAGGTCACACTTGTTGCCCACCAGGATGCGGGGCACCTCCTGGCCCAGCGCGTGCTGCCGACACTCCTCGATCCATGCCGGGAGGCTCCTGAAGCTGGCGGCGCTTGTCACGTCATACACAAAGACGACAGCGTGAACGTTCCGGTAGTAGTGCTGCACCATGCTCTTCCGGAAGCGCTCCTGACCCGCAGTGTCCCACAACTGGACCTGGGAGTAGCAAAGAAGGAGAAAAATTAATGAGCAAATTACACTATGACTACATGTACACATTGTAGATCCAACGTTTCTTCTGATATTAAGGGTTTTAAAATGGAGTTTGCTCCCTTTACTCTTCTTTGTACTAGTTGTTGGAACATTGCTGTGAGGATTTGAGTGCATTCAGCCACAAGAACGCTCATCCCAAAGATACTGGATGGAGCTCCATCACTCCAGAGAACAGTTTAACTGCTCCACAGCCCAACACTGTGGGCTTTATACCCCTCTAGCTGACACTTGGCATTGGGTACAGTGACCTTAGACTCATAGGCGGCTGCTCCAGAGTGTTCTATTGATCAATGCTTATTTACAGAGATTATACAAGCTGTGTGGGTGCAACTGAACACCTGTGTCAGCAGTGGCTGCACCTTAAAGTACCTGAATTCACTAATTAGAAGCAGTGTCCGGATACTTTTGGACATACAACATATGTCAGTATTATAATATGCTGATATTATTTGCACCATTAAATGCAATGTCAATACAGCTAGTTACGTATTGCATATCTCTGCAGTCCAAAGAAGAACAATTATCTCCAAAACAGTAACTTTACAGGAGAAAGCAAAAATGTTCTTAACTTCTAATGAAAATTAATGTAAAAAGATTTTAATCCAAGTGATTTTGGAGCATTTCTGCTATTCCACTAATTATGGAATTTCCACACAATGTAAACGGCAGCTGCTGTGTTCATATTTTCTATATGTAGAAAAATAAAAAATTGCAAAAACAGAGAGGCTATTCAGAGAAACAGTGGGAGGATATGATACAGCAACAGACAGAATGCAGCATTTTTGCACTCACAGTGTTAAACAGCATTTGTCCTTTCAGCAAAACAAGGAGAAACAGTAAAAGACTGTTTATGAGTAAACAGAGACACGACAGTGGAGTCTGTGCTGGAGGGGCAGCGTGGGAGTCTCAGTGAGAGTAACAGAGAAATATCGCAGGGATTCAGTGTCAGTGTGCAGCACGGAAATAGAGCGGATGATCTGTGATTTCTGTGACAGGCACAGAGAGTAGCTTCATATCTGAGCATGCTAAAGCAGGGATGAGCAGTTTGAGCCCTGACTGGCCACAGCATGAGAGCTGGGTATCATTAATAATGTTTCAAAACTGATACCAATACAGTCCCTAGATTTTGATATCAAATGTAGAGTGACACGTTTTTCAAAACCTTCTTTTAAACTACAAACTGGAAGTGGGCGTGGCTTAAATCAGATATGAATGTATGGTGCTGAAAACGGATATATTTACGAATTGCAATGGATTGCAGACTAATCATGACGCAAACATGGAATTATTGGATATTCAGTAGTATTGAAATCATTTGGTACTGGTAACATAATAGCACTGATCTTAGTAACTATCCCTACATAGCACTGCAGGTTTTAATGCCCGGCGCTGCTTTAACAGAACTCGACACACTTCAGCTAATTATCAAGCCAATTAAGAGTTAAATTAACCACGTTAGAACAACAACAACTCTACATCAGTCCCACCTACAATGCATAGTTTCATGTTTGTAGTCAAAAACTGCACTTGAGTCACATCTTTAGCAAATCAAGTCGTCTGTGTGATCAAGAGAAGGAAAAAAAACAGTGATGGGAAACTGATGTGGGTGTAGTGGCACATATATTTTCAGGTTCAATACATTTTTGATTCTGAGGTCAAGATTCAATTTAATTTTCAATATTTTATGTGGTCAAAATGTCTTTATTCTACAGAGCTCTGAACACATACTACACAGACTGGTCTGACTCAGAACAAAACTAATTTAATTTTTAAGTATCATGTCCAGGGGGCAAAACGGTGATCTTATTACTCAGGCAACAGAGTCAAAAAAGATTCATCTGATTTCAAAGTGCCATATTTTTACAAGCGGGAGGCGCCTACGAACCAATCACATACCAATTGGAAGAGAGTTTCTGACTGTCACCGGAAGATGGTTCTCCCTTCAGTCTGCAAGGAGATGGTGACCCCTGAGCAGGAAGCGGTTCGCGTTCTCCACTTCAATAAGAGTGAATCCATCATAACTGTGTAACGTAATTTTCATCTGCAGTGAACCTCCAACAGCTCAGAGCATTCATCGTTGGTTCCGCAACACTGGACGATCTCCGAAATCACATTGAAAGAGCCGTGAGTACAGTGACACCCGACATGCTCAATCGAGTATGGGATGAATTTGACTATGGCTGTTCATGTTATGATGTTGTCCGTACAGCTGGAGGAGGTTCATATTGAGCTCTTGTAAAATCACATAATAAACTTTATGCTCAGTTAAATCATTTACAATTTACTGCATTGTTCTGTAATGATTTACAAGTGAAATAAATCATTTTGAAATTAGATTAATCTTTTTTAATCACCCTGTATTTCTGTTTTTTCACTTTTTCAACGTTTCTGTGATACTTGGCAAAGAAAAGAGACCCTTGGAAGAGATCGACTGGAGTATCGGCATTAGTTTTGAATTGTAATAAGTCGTTTCTAATAGAGGCGGCACGATCCAATATGGGCACTGCTGGATTAGACATCAGAGGAATAAAAAGAAAGATTTTGATCGAGTCCTGTAACAAATCTACCCTGAAACAGTGCTCACTCAAACTATGTGATGTTATGCTGCTGTGTGGTCGTAGAGTGACTGAGCAGTTTGAGCACTTTTAGAAGTTGATCGAAAGTAAAGCTTCCATTACAAACACTTCATTTTAAAACGTAATAGTTTTTAAAGAAAAATTATCAGGTTGGTATTGACTAATACTAATGCTTTAATTTTCTTTTGCGATATGGTGTTAAAAACATTACACCCTTAGACACCAGTGGAGCCCAGCAGAAATAGACACCACTGAACTCAGCTGAACTAGACCATCTGAAGTGAACTTCCCTCCCTGTGGTGAGGAAACAGAAGCATCAATTCTGTGTGTAAACAAAGAAGAGCATGCACTCAGGCCAGGAAACCCAAACAGCAGCTTAAACTCAGAGTTACTGTCAAATGTTGCTATTTACTTTAGACATGGGTTTTTGGTGCCACATTCAAAGTAGGTCTGGATTACTGCTGATAGTAAAGCTGGTCTTCTGTGGACGCTACATTTGGTTTACAATTACCGATGATTAGATCTTTTAGGTTACTATTAAATGTACATATGAGCCAGTGTTATCAACTGTAGCCCACCTACACCTACACTAAGTCCAAAAGTTTGTAGACCCCAAGTCCATTCTATTTTGGACCATTTCTACATATAAAAATAAAAAACAACAAAAATGGAGATACAAGATTTTGTCCCGACAGTAATGCTATAATGCCACTAAACTAAATGCCACTTTATTTCAGATATTGGAAGCCACATCATATCAGCATTATGTGATCAAAAAATACACTCCTAAACGGCCCCCAGATATTTTACACGTCCAAAAGTTTGCAGACACCTGCTCATGTGGCATTTCTTCTGAAAAGAAGGGGGTCAATAGAGAGTTTGTCCCCCCTTTGCTGCAGTAACAGCATCTACCCCTCTAGAAAGGCTGGATTTTGGAATATTGCTGTGACGATTTGATTGCATTCAGCACTAAAAGCATTAGTGAGGTGAAGTACTGATGTTAGATGTTCAGTTCTGGATCACTACAACTCATCCCAAAGGTATTGGTGCCATCACTCCAGAGAACACAGATCCACTGGGCTGGGGAGCTTTATACCCCTCTAGCTGACACTTGGCACTGGACATGGTGACCTTCGTCTCATGTGCAGCTTCCTATTCGATTGATCAATGCCTTTCTATGAAGATCTATGTTGCTTGTTAGCAAAGAGCTCACCTCAACGTGACTGTGTTCACTAAGGGTGCCTAGATACTTTTGGACATACAGTATAGTGCACTTAAAGAGAAATTCCACCAATATATTTAAAATTTCTGAATAATTAAATGGTTGAGATGTTAACAGAGTGGTTTGCTGTGAAATGCTCTGTTCTAGAGAAACTTGCAGAGCCAAAATCGTTCAGTGGCGGTGAGAAGAACCAGACATCCAGAGAGTTTAACACCTCTGAAAGCTCCCCCACAGAACTTTATACATGAAATGCTTATGATTACACTGCCTGATGTTTGAGACACTGTTTTATGATAGGTTTGTGATCAACTTTTGGTCTAAAATGTATTTTAAGCAATTTATTTTAATGCATTCATGGAGAGGTACATGCAGGGTGTTGCAAGGCAAAATAATTCCCAAAGAAAAGTTATTATCATCATATTTATGACTATTTTCCCATCATCAACATTACATAAAAAACTTAGAAGACACGTGTAGGGTCACTGGTGGTTTTTTAGAGTAAATAAAACGGCTATATTGGTCTTCTAGACATGGCGACCCCTGGTTCCCATCACCAGCACTGTAAAGAAGTCTGAGTCTGCAAGTTTCTCAAAAAATGAACCTTTTCACATCAAACCACTCTGAACGCCTGTTTACATCTCAAGGACTGCATTATTCTGAAATTTTGACAAAATGGTGTAATGTCCCTCTAACTGTGGTGTCACAGGTAAGTGCTTTTGCCACCAAACTCACATCTGGATGCTCACCTTAATCTTTTCTCCGTCGATTTCGATCACCTTCTCCCGAAAGTCCACCCCGATCGTGGCCTCCGTCTTATCCGGGAACCTGCCGGCGCAGAAGCGGTAAGTCAGGCAGGTCTTCCCCACCCCGGAGTCTCCGATCACGATGATCTTAAAGATCCGAGTGCGGGGAGGAGGCAGAGAGGAGCTGAACTCCAGGGAGGAGAGAGAGGAGTCTTCTGCCATTATCCCTCGCCGTCTCTCTCCCCAGGGCTCTATCACTGCGCCGATCACAGCATTGATGAGGATCCCGCTCACTCAGCTGAGTCACTCCAATCACTCACTGGAGGGCAACTTTGGCCGGATATCAGGTAAACAGCGTCGGCTGAGATCTCGGAAATCTGGCCGAGCTGCAGCTTGGACTCCACCTGCTTCTTGATCTCAACCTCGAACCTTGATTCTGGGCTCTGTGGTGCTGTTTGGTGCTATTTGTACCGATCGCGCTGAGCCCACATCGCTGCACTGTTTTGGTTTTTTAGCCACGTACGATGCTAACGCGCACATCTCTCGCGAGATTTCGGGACGGGAGGAAATCTGAAAGTATCAGATCAAAGCACTTCCTGTTATGCAAAAAACATGACTGCTAAACAGCAGAGGGCGCCAGCGAGCGAGTCCTTAATAAACGGGGTTGAATGGGGCCAAACCAGAGCCGGTTTATGAAGAGCCTGGCCAGAGCCGGTTTATGAGGAGCCCCTTCCTTTTTCCCCTGTTATATCAAAAACAGGACTGCTAAACAGCAGAAGGCGCCCGCGAGGGAGTCCTCAATAAACGGGAGTGAATGGAGCTCAACGGCTAAAAACGAACAGTTAAAATAGTTTCTAATCACTCACCCAGAACGTTTCTTTAATTTTAGAAAGTAGAAGGATGTATTTCACAAAAAAAAAAAACAAAGAAATCTCACCTGTATGTTTCCTTTTTTCTACAGCAAAAGGTTTTGGGCAACAGGAGGCGGGCTTTACTGCTAGAGCGTGATGATTGATTGGCGAGCGGAGCAGCTCATTGGCTGTTGGCGCTCACTGACGTCATGGACGTACATGAGGCGCCGTTTTAAACTCCTATAACTCGAGTTTAAAAGCTCTTAAAAGTATAACAGCGGTGTTAAAATGTTTTATGATATTCAGTGTTCAGGAAATGATTGCATTCTTTTACATTAAAAATGTTTAAGCATTTATAAACTATGATTTTGCTCAAATGCGCGAGAAATAGAGAAATGGTCATAGAGAAATGGAGCTTAGACCCGGAGTTCCTAATATGGGCATAAGAACATGTTCCGACTACAAAATGACGACACGACTGCAGTGGTCTATTTCTCCTCACTACATATTCTCTAAACGTCCCACTGTACTGAATCCGGCTGTGTCTCAAACGGGTCTGTACTCTTATATAGTGCACCATGTGGGTCATGAAACTGGAGTTTTCACTTAAGTAGTGCTCTGTATGTCCAGGAGGAGATGTGGCCGAACCTCAAACAGCTCACTGTTAGACATATTATGCACCGGATACTATTTTAATGTAGTGCACTACGTAGGGAGCCAATTAAGACTTAGCTGCAGTGAGATATATGCCAAGCAACTGTGTAAGGGAGAGGCCTATTGGTTGCGTCCCTTTTACCACGTTTCTCTCCATAAACAACATACAGTTCTGACGGCACTATAATAAAAAGCAAAAAAAATGTCTCTTAAGTATTTAAATGTACTGAAAGAAAAGGTCCTTCCTCTAGAGAACAGAGAACATAGTCTGTGGTTATGAGATAGGTAACATATTATAAAATAAAAGTAATTATTAATGATTTTACTACTAAATAAGGAACAAAACAACAAAACATTGTCCATGTTTGGCTCGACAGTCAGCCAAGGTTCAATGACCTTACCAAAGTCCAGCTCAAGAGGAACTGAGCGCCTGACGAGAATGCTGGCAAGTTTTCCCTTTTTTACACCTATTGTTGTCATTTTAATTAGATTTTTAAAGCTGTTTGTGTGTTCATGAGTAGACTACCTGAATGTTTGTGCTGTGGATTGGGGCAAAAAAAGGGAAAAAAAAAGAAAAAAGCTATTGCAATGTAGTTACAATTTTCTGATTACCTGAGCATCCTAATGTTTAAGTATAGCTACCAAAACATTGTGCAAAATCACATCAGCCCAGCTCTGAATGTCTCACTATGGAACACAGGCACCCAGAGGTGTAGATGTGGAGCCTCCTCCTGCGGGGCTGCAGCTGGAGTTTCAGACCCTCTTCACCACTGAAGCTCTGCAGTTTCTGTCTGATTTATGCAGCACATTCCAACCAGAGGTTGACAGGGTGAGTAAGAAAGAAAAAAATGCAGAGTCTGCAGGAAACACAGTGTTATGGATCATATTCCTGTAGCAAAAGATCAAATATTTGTAAATATTTGCGTTATAATTTATTTATTATTATTTAATTTTATCAGGCCTAGTAATTTCTACTACAGACAGAAGGGATAATCCAGGGCCAGGGCCCATGTTTATCAAGCATCTCAGACTAAGAACTCTTGATTCCCTGCTGAAAAAACAACACATAAATTCTATGCTGCTCTAAACTGGTTTATGCTGGTCTGGTCCTGGTTTAGCTGGTCACCCAGCATGGTCATACTGATTAACCACACCAGCATCCAAAACACAACAAATGTTGTTTTTGCTGGTGACCAGCCATGCTGGTCTATGCTGCTATGTCTTATGATAAGATCTGGGCCCATATTCATGAGGCTTCTTAGAGTTGGAGTGCTGATATAGGACCAGATGGTAGATCAGCACTCCAGCTTTGAGAAGTAGGGAAAGAATAGGGTGCTTTTCAAATGACTCCCCACTCCCTATGTAGTGCACTATGTACATCATGAAATAATGGCTTATACACCCAAATGGTGCTTTATATGTCTAATAGAAAGCTATTTATATTCAGCCATTAGCTACATGAATCTCTATCTAACATTTAGAGCACTGTTTGGGTGTAGAAGCCATAGCCACAGTACACTACATATAATTTAAGATTCAGCCTAGGTCTACATGTTACTTGTTGTCCAGCTGTCTATAATGCAGATTACAGAAATACAGTGATGGAAAACGAGTATTCAGACACTTTTGTTTTTATACTTCCAGTACATATTTCCACTTCAAATGTACTTACATAATGTCTTTTGACTTTGTAGTCATACATACGATCAGAAAAGGATGTATTTATAAACATAAACAAAGATGTTTAAACTAAATGTTTTTGTTCTGAAATAAAAACTACACCCTTTCATTTGCTATTGAAACATCACCCTGTATCTCGATTCTCTTCATTAAGATGTTATTTATTACACCACAAAGTGAAAGCAACTGTAATGAGGCCCTAATCATGCGGTCATGTCTCTGATCATCTTCTGATTTTGTGGAGGGCTTAGTTGTCCAAATGAAGATCCATTTCTCTGTGGTATGTTTTAGGTCCTTAAGCTAAGAACTCTCCGGAAGGTTCAGCTGGATTTGACTGGTGAGCTGCCGGGATTCAGGGAGGACACGGCCCACATCCGCAACGACCCCACCTGGAGAGTCAGCCCTGTCCCTTCCCGACTGCAGTGCAGACATGTGGACATTGGTGACCTTTCACCCTGTGACACGCATCGTTTCATTCAGGGCCTCAAATCCAAAGCCCAAGGAATACAAGTACGGCATGCACAATAGCAAAATGTGATTAGGTACAGCGTGCAGATGTGGAATATACTGTATACTACTGTTTGTAAAGTTTGGTATCACAATTTTCAATCATTTTAAACCTATTTTGTTTAATACATGTATACATGTATAAAACAATTCAAATATAATTTAATACATTTCAGATCATTTGTAGAAAGGCTTAAGAAATGAAGAACTTTGTCCAGCTGTAGATCAGGAGCTCTCAACATTTTCTGTCAGCTGAACCCTTTCAACTTAAATTACTTGCCTTTAGTACCCCTTGAGATTTGAAGTAGACTAATGTTAAATTAATTTATTAATGAAATGTTTTTTTTCTGGCCAAGTTTGCCTGTTAAGATCTCAGATGTCTCTTCAAGTAAGCTGGTTTCATGTTTGGAACCTCCGAACTGTAACATGGTTGCAATGGGTATCACATGACATAATCCATTTAGTATTTATTGAATGGATTATTATTGAATGGAAATATTAATTTCTGTCACTTGTTGAGCTTATGAGGTCACAAAGTGTTTTAATTTGGATTTTTACTTGTAAAAATCTCCACTGGTACAGAAAAATGACTCAGACAACCATAAAACATTGAAAATTAAGTTATAGTAAAATGAACCTTTAGAAAACCTTGTTATTCTAAAGTGGTGCTCAAATCTCAAAGCAGATAACTTGACACTAAATTGCTAGTAATAGATGGTAACAGTATTTTGATTATAATTTTAAAACTCAATTTTATTCAAATTTGACCTTATATTTATTTATTTATTTATGTATTTGTTTGTTTGTTTGTTTGTTTATTATTTGTCCTTATTTTTTCTTTTAATAAAAGTATACACACCACATTGCTAAAGTTTTAAAACATACCATTCATTTTCACCAGTCCATACAGTCCATGTATGGGAACTAAGTTATAAAAACAGCCCAGTTTGAATTCATTGTTTTGTGATGTCACAAAAAACAACTAATTTCCATAAAACATGTCCACATATTCAGCCTAGAACAGGTTAGCCCCGCCCATTCACACTGAGGTTAAAAGGAGTGTTTCAGCCTGGACTGCTTTTTAAAAGAGGCACAGTACAGCACAGCCAATCAGAACAGAGATCATTTACATATAGCAGTCTTAAATCCACCATACAATCAAAACAGCCTATTGAATTCTTAGGTATAAAGAGAAGTTGTAAAATAGTCATGTAAAAATGAATCAAGACTGTTTGTGGTGCATAAAACCACACTAACATATAAGTCGACCTCAGGGAAAAATAAAATGGAAAAAATGGGAAAGAAAATAGGCCTTCTGATAACATTTGTGGTTCCCCATAAAATGAATATACTGAATAAATCCGTTTTATATTTCAAAGTACAGTTACAGAACACAGCTGGAGCATGTAAGCCTTCACTTTGCCTTAAGACAGTTCTCCTGTGACACAGGCTCATTTGCTAACTAGAAATGTGTGACTGTGTTCTCATGATAGAAACGTCAACCTGTTCTGTTCTTTTGCAGGTAGATTTCGATGATGGCAACTGTCCAACGTACTACAATCAGATAAAAGGCATTTATAATGTTTACCAGGCTGTGCGCAACCAGTTTCATGGTAAGTCTTAGCACGCATGTGTAGTATTTCATCTTAATTTGAACTTCTAAAAGCATGTATGAAGCCAAAATTGATATGTTACTCTTTAGTCAATAAACATTTTCCGAAAGCCAAACTAATATTTTCAACATGTTGCTCCTCACCCTGAACCAGCTGCACCTCCTATATCTCAGGCCCCGGTTCTTATGCTCCGCCCCCGTGCATGGAACATGGTGGAGCACAACATGATGGTACTGTAGCTTTACTTGTGCTTCTGGTGCTCATTTATAAAACTGATGGTGGTTTTATGTGAGACAGAGTAATTAAAAGCTAATGTAACTTCTTTGTACCTAAACTGACTTTTACCAGCACAACACACACTCACATTCCATTACCGCCTTGGATTCATTCCTGCGCTAAGTAGCCCTGTAGCCAATCCAATAATATCTGGTGAATGGTGGTCCCACAGTAAATGGGTAGAGGGGAACTAATCAAATATGTATCAACAGATGGGCTACAGTCAGTAATTGCGCCTATATAGTAACTGTCTGTAATAAAATGGCCAGTAAGTGTAGGTACAAGGTCCGTGAACCTAAAACCAGCAACATGTATGTATGTTTGTGTGTTTCTGCAGGTAAATGGTCGGGAAATACCTGGTCCACTCTTTGATTTTGGCCTGCTGATGTTCCATAATGCAAAGCTGTTGCTGGAGAACCAGAGTGGCCCCTTTTTCTACCTTTCCAAGGTCAGAGTTTGAGCCAGTTTAGTAGAACTAAGGGCTTCATTGATCATTTGAAGTAGATGTCAAATATACTGGAGAAATAAAGTTAGACTGTGATGGACACTGGAGAAAATGACCAATATTTTGATAATTAAAAAACCAAAGGGCCCCATTGTGGGCCCTAAGCACCTGCAATCTCAGAAAAAAAGGTGCTAAACCGTCACTAGGGCAGTGCCCTTCTTGTCACTGGGGTGGTACCCTCAAGGGTACATCTCAGTACCTTTAGTCAGGGAACATAACTGTACCATAATCCATTGAAATCATATTTTCTAAGTTGTACTGACTCCACACACCCCGTCTCGCCTCCAGGCTTTTTATTTTACTGTTCTGTTTTAAAACATTCGGTTATGAAAAGGTACAAATACGTACTTTTCACCTGGAAAAACCTATTTAAGGTACACAATTGGACCTTAAAACCTTTGTTGTACTTTTAAGGGTACATTTACATTGTTTGTACCTTGAGGAATGAAAAATGTACCTGCACAGAACCTTTATTTCTAACACTGTGCCGCTTATAGCAAAAAGAGACTTTGCTGATACCTGATAATATTGGCCAATCCAAATTCATCTGGACTCCAAAAGATTTGGTTAAACTTTGCTTTGATAACTGATATGAATAGTAATTTCAGAATATTATTGAAATAAATATGAACGAAACAGCAGAATCTCACAAGGTCTTAAATAATATGAGTATAAAACTAGCTACTTATTAATAACCATATAACTTAATACTTAACCTTAACTCTTGTGTGGTGTTGATGTGTTTGTTACTCAGTGGTCTGGTGAACCCACTGTATTATTGTTTTTTAAATCAATACAGCCATAACAATTTATGTAAAAATACCAGATCTTTAAAATATCACATGGTCAGCGTAGGGTTCTCCTTTAACAGCTGTAGTCAGTCAGCAGCCTGTCCATGTTGTCCACCGTCACACACACACATACAAACACATACACAGACAGACACACACACTAACAGCAGGCCATGTTGGAGGAGAACAGAGTGAAGGACGCAGCACCTCCACACTTTTATCCCCCGCAGGTTCACCCAACACCACATGTGTAATATAAATGTGTGGGGGGTGAACAGAGTGAAGACACTGAAAAGGTGTTATTTTGTATGTTCTTCATAGAAAATGAGCAAAGGCCAAAAATCTGAGATTGAAATAATAATAAATAAATCGCATCATTTTTTCTTTTGGTAAACATTGAAAATGGGTCCCACAGACCCGACACCACACAAGGGTTAAAGCAGGTAAATAACATGAATTCGGGCACTGCTGTACTCTGTCTGTCTGGCCCATTTTTATATTACTAGGTGAGTCAATCAGGCCCTTATTATCACTGAGTTTAATGATGCTCTACTATGATGCACCAAAGGATTTCCTAGAACATCAGTATGACTCTGATTACACTGTTTATCCATTCAGATGCTGCTAAAGGCCTTGAAAATCCCCGCCAACGTCAGCATGATACTGGTCAGTCTCCAGGAGCTGAGTTTTAAAATAAATATGTCGTTTTTAGGTTGAAAGCCACCTGGAGGCGAAGCTGTGGAATCAGATTTTTCTCTGGACAGAGGATAAGGTAAAGATGTTTGCTTGTGCTGACGTTTATTTTTCAGCGTTTGATGGTGTTGTGTCTATATGATGTGTGTTTTTGTGGAAGCTGGACCTGCCGGTGGGCAGTATAAAGGCAACCGTTCTGATAGAGTGTGTACTGGCCTCGTTTGAAATGGAGGAGATCCTGTATGAGCTCAGAGATCACTCCGCTGGTTTAAACTGCGGCATCTGGGACTACTCGGCTTCCTTTGTCAACAAACTCGGTCAGCCTGTACCCTTAAAGAATTTAATGATTGTACTGATGATTTGAATGTAACAGTACCTGCAACAAATATGTCAACAACCCCTCTGACCCCTGCAGGTCACAGGGCTGACTTCCTGCTCCCTGACCGCAGCAAGTATGTGAACATGGAGAAGCGTTTCCTGCGCAGCTACATGGATCTGCTGGTGAAGACGTGCCATCGCAGGGGCGCCTTGGCAACCGGTGGCATGGCAGCATTGCTATTGCCCAGAGACAAGCAGAGTGTCCTTTACAAGACCATAGTGACCACTGTCACCAGGCAAGAGGCAGCACACTAAATGCCAGATTACTGAGCTAGAGAATCTTTTATTTCTAGTGTCTTTTCATTGGTACTTTTTACAAATACTTTTACAATAAAACAATAAGAAAACCCCAATCTATCCCCAGTGCACTTTTCACGGTTCTACATATACATCTGATAAACTTTTTTTTTTTTTTATTTCGGCACATTTAAATTGTTAAGATGTAAAGTCATTCAGAGTGGGTTGATGTGAAATGCTCTGTTCTAGAGAAACTCAGCAAGTCAGAATTGTTCACAGTGGTTGTGATGGGAACCAGACGTATGATGAGTTTAATGCCTCTAAAAGCTACATCACAGAATGTTAGTACATGAAATTGTTACAGATGCACTGCCTGATGTCTCAGACATTGTTTTGTCATAGTCAAATGCATAATGTAGGACCAGAGGCAGGTTGGAAATGTGAGGTAGCTTTATTAGGGACTGTTCAATACTCATAGTCACAGCAGGCAGAGGTCAAAACACAGGTAGGCAAAATAAGAGGTAGATTTTGTTTGTTACTTGAAAAACCAAATAGAGTAGCAAGGGGTCAAAACCAGGGAAAACCAAACACAAGAAACAGGCCTAGAATCAGGTTCGGAACACAGAGACTTCACAAACACACAGTGAGCACAAAGGAGTTATGTAGCAGTCTTAGGCCCAATCCCATTTCACCCCTTGCCCCTACCAACTAGCCCTTACCCTTCCGTTTTGCGCATTCATGCCTAGGGGTAGGGTGTCCTGAGTTTTGTTAAGATAGTGGGGTGGGGCGAAGTGTTAGGGCTACATGGCCCTCCAAACAGAGGTTTTTCAGAGGCACACTCCAAACTCCGGTAAGATGGCTGCACAAGGGGTCAAAGAAACCCACAAATGTGAGTATTTTCTCCATTAAACAATTACGGTAACCATTGTATTATCTTAGTTTAATGTCGTTTCAATGAATTATGGTGCTTTTCTTCATAACAAGCATAAAAAATTGCTATTAGTGTGGTGATGTCTCGGTAGCTAGCTAGCTAAATTCCCTGTTCCACCTTAAATGGTGCAGCAGTTACGTTCTGGCACCTAAGCTATTTGCAAGCTTCGAACAGAAACCTAGCAAACAGCTGACTTCAGCTTCATATCACTGAGGAATTAGGGGTGGGCGATAATAAATAATTGTCACATCCCCCTCTTTGAAAGGATATGATGCCCTAAATGTAACTAAAGCCCAGCAGTGAGGAGCTGAACTTTACCCTCCTCTGCTATCACTGCAGACGGGCAGGGTCGTCTACAGGGCACCGCTGGTAGCTTGTTAATGAAACAATGTTCTTCTTTATTTGTGGGTCCCATTTCGTAGGGAAAGATTTCAACCACTTCCCCTTGTAACTTAGTTCTAAGGGGCAAGGTGACACTCAAAAACAAGGGGTAGGGGAAAAATAAGAAATGCGATGGACCTTAATGTCCTTGGTATGAGCTTCAGGTGTGTGGGAGAAGTGGAGAGTTGGCAGAGCCAGGGAGTCCAAGTTGAGTCTCCCCAGAGTGGGGGGGTGGGAGAGGGCGGACATGACAAAATGATTACCAACACTACATACAGTATAAAAACTCAGAAGACTTGCGTAGGTTCACTGGTCATTTTTGATAGTAAATAAAGCGGCATTATTTGTGTTGTGACCCCTGGTTCCTATCACCACCACTGTAAAGAAATCTGAGGCAGTACATTTCTCTGTAATGGTGCATTTCACACTAAATCACTTCAAATCACTTTGTTTTACATCTCAATGTTTGAATTATACAGAATTTTGAAAAATCTGCAGAAATCCCCTTAACTGTTTGCTCAATTTTTGACTTTCTTTAATTTACAATAATATTCACAATAAACTCCAGTAAAGCAAAACTATAGATAACCAATGAATCATAAATACCCAAATAAACAACCACCAAATTTAATTCTGACTGAATTACCTCCAGACTGATGCCTGACACTGATGTGTTGTTCCTGTACATTTGACCTCCGTATGATTAAATGTTCATATGTTGCTACAGACTAAAGCTACTGGAAATCCAAGCTGGAGTCGATGGCTTCATGGTGTATGACATGGACTTGATTGAGCCCATGCAAAAAGTAAGCCTCATATGTAACTGATGTCTCAATAATGAAATCTCAATGTCAAAATCTGTTGCATCTAATACTCTTACTTGAGTGAGACAGTTTCATCTGTATCTACTTTCTTCATTATTATTCAGATTATTAAAAGAATCTCCCAGCACTGACATATAACCAGAATGGGAAGCTTTGGCACAGCAACACATTAGCCAAAGGTCACCAAGCCCAGTGCTAAGCGCTAGCTAGAGGGAGTGATGGAGCTCCATCCAATACCTTTGGGATGAGCTGAGTGATCCAGAACTGATCATCCAACATCAGTACCTGACCTCACTAATGCTCTTGTGGCTGAATGCAATCAAACCCTCACAGCAAAGTTCCAACATCTAGTGTTAAGCCTTCCCAGAAGAGTAGAGGCTGCAGCAAAGTGGAAACAAACTCCTTAAATTATTAATACAATCAGAAGAAACCCTGGTGTCTACAAACATTTGGACACAGTGTATTTGGGTTCTTTTATTCACCCACATGAACACATACAGATTAACAATCTCTCTGTTCCACTCAGCTGTTCCAGCTCCATTCTCAGGGAAAGAACCAGCTCCAGCAGCTGCGGGATGACCTCACCGTGAGCCCTGAAGACCTGCTCACTATGCCAGCGGTCAGTCAGACCAGATCAGATGGTGATACTATGGATTATAGCTACATATTAGGCATATTTTTAAATGTTATACTGAACAAACACACGGTTACCTGGTTAATGGAACAGTTTGTTAAATATACACTCCTTAGTTTTTCTCCTTACTGTAAATGTAGCTGGTCTGCCAAGACATGCTCCATGTCTGAAGCTTGCTTCTTTAGTTTTGCTCAGGACTGTTCAACATAACTGTATTTAATAAAGAAATGACAGTATGTCACATAGATTCAAATTAGCAGCAGCAGCCACTTCAGAACTTGAATTTTGTTATTTTTGTCCATCTTTTATAGATATCAGCATGTCACAAAGTTTCTGAAAGCACATAGAGTCCGAAGTTTGTACACACCTGGTCAGATTACATGTTTTTCTAAGTGAAAAAATCACACAACCTCTACAGAGAACAAGTTTTAATATGATATATGATATAATATATATATAATATAAATATATAAATATATATATAATTTTATACTATAATGTGGTTTAATGTTTATTTTTAGATTTCTTTTTAATTTTTTTTTATCATTTTATTCTGGTTTAATGTAGTGGAAAAAAATAAAAAAAAACCATACAAAATGTGCCATAACTTTTGAACAGGCCACATCTCGTGGTTTATGATTTTTTTCAAAATATGTTAAATTCAGCAAATAAACAGCAATTGTGCAGAAATGTGTTCTCTCTGGAAGGTGTGTTTACTTATTTTCACTTAGAAAATCAATAAAACATCATTCTGTTGTTACATTGTCAAGGTTGTTACAATAGAACACTTTGTATATAGAACCATTTTCATCATCTCTCTGCAGGGTGGAGTGACACTGTATGGGCTGAAGTACAACATTGCTGTTGGTGTGCTGTTCATCGAAGCCTGGCTTTCAGGTGAAAAAACGAAAGGAAATAATGACGCAGAATGCTAACACAACTAATAATGAATGGAAGCTAACGGAATAGTTAGCAGTATGTAAATAAGACCACGCTAATTGGAGCTTATCAGCTTTCAGTTATTGGAAGGCAGCCTATGTTATCTCTGTAATCAGAAACCCTTTCAGTTTCACTCTCTTCATATTTATCTTCCAGTGAACTTTTACAGTTCTGAGAGAAAGTTCGTGAATCTTTTGGCACCTAAAATGTGATCTGTAAAACACTAAATTTTACATTGCCATATTGACACTGTCAGAAAAAAAACTTCCCATATGCAAAAGAAATAATTGTCCATATCACTGCTGTCGGAACAAAACCTCGTATCTCCAAAAATAAACGTTTACAGCAGGAAAAAACCTACTTTACTTTTAATGTAAGTCAATGAAATCAGACTTTTTCCAAGTAATGTTGGGTCGTTTCTTTTGCTCCATTCATTGCGAACTTTACACACAATGTAAAGAACAACAGGCATTTTCAAATTATGTCAAAAACTGAAAAAATCTGACACTATTACATATGTTTCAACATACTGACATACATGTGCATGTATTGGCATATCTTTAAAATGGCACAGCTAAGTATATTTAGCACCTGTATTTTAAAGCATCACATATGCAGCACATATATGTAAAATACTTGTAATATGAACAAATATATATGCATATATGTTTCATCATTCATATGCGTGGCATCTCCATATTTTCATTTTTTTTTACTTAATTTGACAGTACCAGTTGTCTTTTACAATTTAATGATGAACTGACCAATAGAAATGCTCCAAAATTACTTCCATTAACTTCCATTCAAAACTAGAAATGTTTTTCCTTCTTCTCTAAATTACCATTTTGGAGATGAGTTTTTTTCACAACGTTGAAAAAGTATATGAGCCTTAAGAAAATGTTCCTTTAAAAGAGGATAGTTGAAGTCAGGTGATCCAGTCAAGTGTGGCATTGACCTGTACTTCATAACACAGTTCTGTTCAGCTGCAATATAACCTTGAATGGACCTCATTAGAAAACCTGTTGAGGGGCCTGCAGGTGGGGCTGAACAATTTAGGGAAAAAATCTAATTGCGATTTCTCTGAAATTGTGATTATGGTGTTTTTGATTTTTTCTGATTGGTCTATTCATATACAGGCAGTTCACAAGCTTGGTTGTTATCAGGTTAAATTTCCCCACTTAAAACTTAAGGCAATGCTGCTATTTTAATTTTTTTTTGTGATTCATTTTTTATTATTTTTCCATTTAAAGAACAACACCCCCATACCAGCCCCAACCCACACACACATGGGACTTACAAGAGGTGGAGAAAAAAAGAAAAAAAAAAAAACCAACAAACATAGCTACAACATAGGACACGGGAGAATTACATCATTCACAACTTAAGCACAGTATATAGTTAAGCAAGCACAAGGGTCCTGACTTTAGAAATTCCGTGTATCCATGTGTTAAGAGTTCCAGGGCCAGCATTGCCAATTCTTGCAGATGACAGTTCCAGATATAGAATATCCAGTAAGGTATGGAGCCAATGACGTATAGACAGGTTATGGGGGGGGTGGCCAATTCTGGACAATGAATTTTTTCGCTGCCGTCAGCTCTTGCTATTTAAAAAATCTTTCAAATTACAATTATGATATAAAAATGATTCAGCTCTCTCTGCAGGTATCTCTTACATTTCATAACGTCTGTGTTCATCAGTCTACCATAAGAAAAACAAACTCAAACGTGGTGTTAGTAGAGGTTTACCACAGAGGAAACCACTGCTCAACCATGAACATATTGCTGCTCATTTCAAGTTTACTAAAGACCACCAGAATGTTCCACAGCAGTGAACACAACAGTCTGTTGACTGATAAAGCAAAAGTTGAACTTCTTGGTTAATGTACACAACATTATGTTTGGATAAAATAAAATACTGGTGACCTCAAACCTCAGGACCGATCAGCAGGCATGAGAAGCATTTGGTTGAGCTTTTTACCAATAAAGGAGATTCCAGTTTTCCCATGAATCACTTTGTTTAACCCCCTCAAGTCGATAAAGAAAGAGAAATCAGTAATTATTGTTATGACTTGGATGGTCAAATCACATAATAGTAGCACATTCCTGTAGAAGTCCTGATTTCCAAAGGGTTCACAAACTTTTTTCCCACAACTACATTCCTTTATCTGACAGGTAGAGGGCATTTCTTCTATAAGGGGCAGGTGGAGGACTCGGCCACTGCAGAGATCTCCCGATCTCAGGTGGGACGTTTTATTTTTAGGATATGTTAAACAAATTTATCTGACTAGAGTCTAAAATAGTCCCTGTTAAGGGTGCACATTATGGACAAATGACAAATTATTATTACATTAATGCATATTCAGATTGCAGTGTACCTTGCAATATATTAAAAAAGCGAATTCCACCAATTTTTCAAAATTTCTGCAAAATGAAATCATTCAGATGTAGACAAAACAATTCAGAGTGATTTGATGTGAAATGCTCAGACGTCTGAAGAGTTTAGTGACCCTAAAAGCTCCCTAACAAAAAGTTATGAATACGGTGCTTATTCCTGAGAACTATTGTTTTACAATTGTTTTGGAATAAATCATATTTTCTAAATGCATTAATCCCTTCATTGTCCCTAAAGATTTTTTTTTCAGATTTATCACTATTTATCATAAACATTACATATAAAAAATGTATAAAAATTGTGGAGCTGTAGTGCCCCTTTCTTCTCTGACCCTCTCTCTACCTGGCTCAGGTGTGGCAGTGGATTCGGCACCAGGTGAAACTGGAGGATGATGGGAGGACAGTGACCCGTGGGTTGGTCAGGAGCTTGGTACAAGGCATGCTAGATGATCTGAGGGCAGCAACGCATTGTCAGACACAACGGTACAGTAAATATCATCAACTACCAATGACCTTTCTGCAAAAGACTTCAAATTACAAATCGCGCTACACTCTTGAAAAATAAAGGTGCCAGAATATTCTTTGCAGAGATGCTAATGCGCAGTGTTCCTCACTGAATTATATAGAGGGATCACTCTGGCTAAAAGAAACACTGGGTTGGGGGCAACAACTTTTCCTTATTGTACAGGCCATGCTGTTTCACCGCATACGCTGCTGTTTGTGATCTGTATGTTTCTTTGGTAGTAGTAGTGTTCAGGTAAAACTGTACAAAGTACAAATTAGAAATCAGATTTCTTTTTCCTGTAACACAGTGGTGTAAAGCTATACAGAATAACGTAACAGTCACTGCCATTAGAATTTACTTGTGTTGCTTGTATGTCTACGGAGCCCCTGAAGGAACGTGGTGTATTTTTTTTTTTAGGTAAAAATCTGGTATGCACCAGATACTATGTGGTGAGCACTCGATACTTTTAGGTCACCACCTCATTCAGCAGCTGGGACTTTATGAGAGTTTTTACATAATTTATAGCTAACTATATCTAGCAAAGGCAGCCTACATTTAGCTATATCTGTTTGAAAGGGACAAACTGGCAAATTATTAAGGTTTTTACAGAGCCCCTAAAAGGACGTAGTGTATTTTTTTTTCCAAAGTAAAAATCTGATGTGCACCCAATTCCATCAGCTGAGCACCTAATACTATCAAGTGAGCACCAGATACTATCGAGTGAGATGGATGTCAGAAGTATTGGGTGCTCATGCATACCTGCATCAGCTTGACTGTGAAAATGAGCAGTGCAGTGTTGGGTTTAAATAACGTGGATGTAATGTAATGAGTAGTGAGTTTACTTTTCCCATGAAAGAACATATAATTCCTGTACAGTTTGGGAGGAGAACTTAATCATTTGTAGTGGAGAAAATACTTCCAACATTGATATGAAGCAGGCCAACATCTAGGGTCAAGGTTTCTCAACCACTGGGCTGTGGACCACAAGTGGGCCTGTACTGAGGCAGGAGCCAGTGGTCCTTAAAGGGCTGGTGATGGCACTTTATGTCCGTTAAATCAGTGAAAAAATAATTGCCTTAATAATTAGAAAAAAATATAAAATGTTCTTTTAAATGGTAAACAATATCAGTATAGTAACCTTTGTATTATGTTATTACTAATAATTTATTATCATTATTATTATTAGTAGCATCAGTAGAAGACCCTTTTGGTTCCCTAAAGAACTGTTAAAAAACTACAACCACTCAGCTGAAAGGCTCTTTAGGGAACCAAAAGTGGTTCCTTTGTGGCATGACTCCAAACATCCCTTTTGGCACCTTTATTGAAATATTTTTGACCTAAATCAGACTGACTGCCTGGGCCTTCTCTCCGTATAATGTATTTGGGAAGAGGTTAACATCGCCTATTTTTATGCTTCTCTCTCTTTGTAAGCAGAGATGAAGAGAGGTTGACCACAGCCCTGTCCATTTTTCTGGAGGTAGTTCAAAAGAGCGATTTCCCAGAGTTCCTCACGACCTACCTGTACCTGGACCACACATTCCTGAGCTCGCAGTGTCTGCATGAGGAAAGAGTGGATGAAGGACATTACAAAGCCAGGCTTTAATTACTAACCTGTGTCTCAACTCCAGGTGACTTAATTCACCAAACCTTTGAGTCCTGTTACTAAAATAGCTCATTAAAGACCTCAAATGTGACTGATGCAAAGCTGGCTATAATGAATAAAATAAAGAACATGCAGTGTCAGAAAAAGGGTCCTGTACAGGTATATTTTCGTCAACCACAGTACAGACAATGTAAATGTGCCCTTAAAAGGTTCTTCACATCTATTTGTGTACCTTAAATGAGTTGTAAAGGTATGTTACGCTCACCTTTCCAGTATATTTCTTTGCATATTTGTTCCTGAAGCTGTCGGGATTTCACCTGGACATTTGTCAACTGTCCAGTTTCTGCAATGTTTGACTGAATTGTGTGGGGAAACAGTGTTGGTCAGTTTGTTTTTCAGTGCCGCTGGCAATTTTAGGTCAGCTGTACCATTTAGAATAATCACAATTTTATGGGCTTTTTTTTTTTGAGAACGCAACAGCCAATCATGAATAATTACCACAAGTCATACAGTTTGTCTGAAAAAAAGAACAGCTTCAAAATTAATAATTCACACCCTGAATTCCAAAAAGTTAATCTTCTAAAAAAGGCAGAATGTAATTTCTCCTTCACCGTTAAATATGTGCTTCTTCCCATCAAACTTCAGATAAACAAAGAATTCCATGTCTGTCAAAGTTGTTACTTAAAAAACACTGCCGACAAAAATGGCATCACAGCTGCTGAACTAACATTATCAAAGATTTCAGCACCTTACCAGCTGCTTATCACAGGGATGATAAGTTGCCTGGTTTTTAGTTCACTAAAACTTCCGAGCTTGTTTTGAAGAACAAAACACTGTTGCCAGCAGGAGGGTCAATTACAAAGTACAGCTGGTAGAAATGCTACGGGTAAATGGGGGCAAAGTGGTGCCCGGTTTTGGCTTGTTGAAAAGGTGGCAACACTAGTGTGAGGGTACTCCTGCATGCTCACTGTAAACCAAACGAACAGTACTTTACTTCATTATGGACAAAAACCTTGGATCCTGTGGCAGTGTTTAGACTTCCTACATGCATAATACAAAAACCAACTGCCTCGTGAGATTATGACTGATTATTTTATGGGAAGAAAAGCCAGATCAAAAAAAGTGTGTATACAGTTGTATGTAAGCACAGTAGAAGTCCTGTGTCAGCTAAACCTTCCTGCAGATCCTTTGCAGTCATAATTTCCACAGTTGCCCTTAACTGCCATTCCTTAATGACATTTTGGACAGGGGAATTGGGAGCTGGAAGCACTCTGATCTTTTCTTCTGCTTTGTAGGCATTAATAAGCTTCTTTTACAGATCCTCAACCTGCTGCTCAGAGGAGCCCATGGTTGTGGAGTGGGGGTGCTCAATCTTGGTACTGGAGATTTCAGATCCAACACACCTAGCTCTGATATTCAGACAGTCCTGAATGCCTTCATTACCTGGATCAGGTGTGTCAGATTAGGGTTTGAGCTAAACTCTGCAGGGTCGTAGATCTCCAGGACCAGGACTGAGCATCCCTGTTGTAGAGTGTTAGTACAACGTTTGAAGAGTCAGAGAATTTATCATGCTCTGGAAATGACATCAGCTGACAATTCATCAATTAAGACCCAACGAAGTCCTGAGACTTCACAACTGGATGTCCAAACGTTTGGCACAATTATTACTATTTTTTCTTAGATTTTACATTTTTTTAGATTTTATACTTCAAAAATCCAACAAAATCTAAGCTAAATATGCCAGGATGTCCAAGCTTTTGCATACAACTGTATAATGTGTGTGATCACAGACATTTAGATTCAGTTTCTTTAAATTCACTTTCTGTTTTATTTGTAACTGTTTTGAGTGTCAAACGATGGAACTGAGATCAGACAGTGGTGTGATCGGCAGGCTTTTGTTTTATGGAGAATAAGACAGAATTATTCAAACCAACTTATGAGAAGGGGGAAAAAAAAAAACAATGGGATAGGGGAGAAAACAGGAAATGTAAACCAAAAAGAGAAAAACCAAAGAATTATGGTCACAGTAAAAGCCTCAAAAAGCCACTACCACTGTTCAGACATTCACTGGATAACCAAATTCAGATGACAATGAATGAGAAGATGGAGGAGGAACAAAAGGAGAAAAAGAAATGAAGAGATGCATGTCAGCCTTTCCCTCAGCACTCCGGGTGCGCTCAGAAGTTGAGCATTACAGTTTCTTTCTGGCAGCCGTAAAGCGCTTCCTCACCTACCAACCACCTAACGGCTGACTCAGGAACTGCTCTTTGTTCACCGAACGAAAGCAAGTCTTTTTAACCCCCGTTCCCTCCACTCTCCACCTCACAAAGTCTCTCGCAACAGGTGCCACCACCTTCTTAAGCTCCACCCCACAGGTTTGGCACACAACCACCCGAGTCGAACCAGGACCAAGAGTATTGCTCCTTGATAGCTTTTTTTTGTTCTCTTTAATATTCTTTTATATAAATTACTCTTAAAAACATGACAAGGAGGTGCATGTATCAGATGAACATGGTGTGAAGTTCATCATAACCATATTCATCCATGTTCCACTCCGCACATACATGCCGCTTATTGGTTATTTGTTTAGGATTAGTTATAAGCCATATTAAAAAAAAAAAAGGCAAAAGAAATGAAACAAAAACCAAAACATAAAACAGATATTCTTTCTTTCCCCTATCGCCCTGTGGCTTGCACTTCTGTTGCCGATGCTGGGAGTCCTGGTCTGGTTACTGCAGTACAGTCACAACCTCTGTTGGGCGTCCGGTCTTGAAATGGCAGCCGGCCACCAAAAAGAAAAAGAAAAAAAAAATACAAACGAAAAAAAAACCCACACCCTCCTTGATCTTTTCATAACCTTTTACATCTCATTGGTCATGTCCTCGTGGTCACCAGATGATAGGTCTCCATTAGTGGTTATGGCAGCATTGTCCTGGTAACCGGGGGGCATGAAGGCAAGACAGTAAGGGTAGAGGCCATGGCAGGACGCGCGGTACGATTCCACAACCTTCTGCTGCTCCGAGCCCAAACTACCATCCCTCAGCGCCTGCAACACCTCACTGCATACCTGAGACAAAAACAAGCATTTAACAGTACAGCTCAATGATTTAGTACTCAACAGGGTTATAATAGTTTTGAAATTTACTGGTGTTTATTTTTATTTTGTTGGTTTTCAATTTAACTGTAGTTTTAAGACTGAATTAAGTTTTTTTTTTTTTCAGAAAATCAAAATCCTAGCATGTGCTTCCTCCGAGACAATGTCTCATCTCAAACTGCTGCTAACATGTCATGCAGCTCAATGCACTAGAAGGGGAATGCTAAATGCTAAATCTGTTACATCAACTAACAGACACCCGCGCTGGCTAGCATCGCACCGAGTGATGGGGGATACCCACTCAGAGATTGAGGCCAATTACCCTCTCTTGAACTCCAGGCCGCAGCATCACCAGACTGAACTCACAATCTTCTGGGTCGACAGACATTTGTGCCTAACTCATGACTATTTTGAGGTTTGAGACTTTTATTATTGTTACAGTTAGTAAGTACATTTCTGCAGCACTAATTTTCTTTTCTGTAACAGTTCTAGTTAACAATAATAACCCTGGTAAAAAGATTAAGAAAATTTTGCATGAACATTGATTTGAGACGAGCTGTTCATTTTGTATTATGGACATTAAAACACCACTGGTACCTGTAAGGTTCTGCCAGTAAGGGACTCGTCCAGAGAGGTAGCCAATTCAGCAGCCAGGCTCTCAGTGGAGGGGTCCAGATAAACCATCATCTTAGCAGCTGCAAACACAAACACACACACAAAGAAACAACTTTTAAAAAGCCTAAACACACACATACATTATACATTAGACCAGACAGATGATATACATATCCTGAAAAACAACACATTTTTATTGACCAGGGTATATTTTGGTTTTTCCATCTGAATTTACATGACCAAACTGTAAGGCAAATTATTCAGTAACTGCATGAAATATCAATTTTGATTTATTTATTTTTATAAAAGCTCCCCTCAAATTAACAGAATGTTTTTTATGATCATACACATATTGCTATATGCTTACAATTTACGGCTGAAAACCAAAATTTTTAGACACTCTGTATTTTTTTTATAAAAATAATTTTTACAGAGCAGATCACTGAAGAGACGCCATCTGCTTATAGCCCAGATTTGTGGAAAAATGGGTCGACTTTTAGTAGACAAAAATTCAGCTTCTTCTATTATAAGGGTTTAAAATTACATTACCCATCTATTTGACTGGAAAGAAGACAGTTACAGCTCTCATATGACACCCACCTTTTGAATGTAGCTTCTAATGTAAAAGTTATGAAGAATATGATGAAGTGCGTTTTGGAACCACTGGTGGTCGCAAGGAGTTGAAAAGGTTAATTTGCTCAAATTTGACATTATAAACCAGTTTGTAGAGCATTTTGTTATGATGTTATAAGTAGATAAAATAACTACTTCACAATGTATTTGTTTTCAATAATTATGTAACATTATTTTCACATGAACCTACATAAAACAACAGTACTTCCTCACAGAGTTCCGAGTGAGTGCAGTTTCCAATTTTAATCAGCAATGTCCAGCGAGCACAACAGTTCCAATCAATAAATGTATCATATATACAGTCAAGGGTTCAAATCAGTGAATGAGTGCCGTGAGATGCAGCAAACCAAACACGAAATGAATGACGCTGAAACCAAACACAAAATGAAGGATTTAAATCATTTTCTATATGATGCAAGTTTGTATTTTCAGGAAATATGGTGCGATGTTTAAAAAAAAAAAAAGCCAAGTTTGAGTTTCGCATTATGTTTATTTCACGTCGTCTTCTCTGAGTTTATTGGCTGGTTGCAAAGCAGAAATCCGATTAGTGCCTGAATCATGTACACCCGGAGTTTTCCATTATCTAATTACTCGAGTGCATGTAAACGTGTTGATCAGATTACTGACAAAATCTGATTTTCTGCAGTTTTCAAAGTGCATGTAAACAAACTCAGTGATTGCATCCTCTCATTCTCGATCATACAGCTTGCGGATTCTTGTTACGATATAGGCTCTCGAAGGGAACTTACCGCTTTGCTATCAAACTATCAAAGCGATATTCACTTTGTTATGCGATGCTGTTTTGCTTGTATATGATAGTTCAAACTTTATGTACTTTGGCGATAAATTTACCACAGCAGTAGCTTGGGGAAAAAAAAAAAACAAAAAAACAAAAAAACACCAGAGCCGTTAATGGGACTTTTAAATTTAAGTGTTAAAATACGAATGAAAGGGCTACAGAGGGCATTAGCAGGAACATGTGCAGCTGGGCTTCAGCCTGTCCTACTACAGAGTTTGGAAATTTGGGAAAACAGCTTGAAAGAGTTCACTCTGTGGATCTGAGGTCTGATGGAAGTGTGTACCTGCTAATCTGTGGGGTATGGAGCTGGCGTGCTTGCTCAGGAAGTTTTTGTTATAGCTCTTAGGATCACTCTCTCCAAACAGTCGTGTGATCTCCTGCTTCAGAACGGTTTGCACAGGCTGGGGGAGACCTTTATTGTCAGCCACTGTAAACAAAACAACCCAAACAAATTACAGCAACCTGTCACATCAGTGGTTATCAAACAGAACATGTGTGTTTACTAGAATAGATATGGAAAGTGTGTGTGTGTGTGTGTGTGTGTGTGTGTGTGTGTGTGTGTGTGTGTGTGTATTTACCTCCTTTGAAGAAGCGGATGAGGCACTGGTGAAGCCAGGGGTGGTCGGGGTCCATTGCGTAGGCTCTCTTCACCGACTGGAGCATCAAAAGATATTTCTCTAAACAGACACACACGTATACACAGTGAATTTAGTGTAGGTAAAAGAGTGATGGGCATTTTAGCCGTTTTAGTCTTTGAATATCCACATTTTTGATTATACAATATTTGAACACTAACTACAAAGGATTTTATAAATGAATACAAACTGAAAAACAGTAGTTTAGTATGTGCAGCTATATATAGATCTATATATATATATATATATATATATTAGATCTATAGCTGAATGATTGATTTAGTGACTTGTCTTTTTTGTGTATGTAATTTTGGTGTATGCATTTGAACATACTTCTTTTGGCTCTACAATAATCTCAGTGTTACTGCACAAACTTACATTTGTCTTTAAAATACTTCCATTTACAGTTCCACTTAGTTAGACACAGTTTTGTGATTTTTAAGTGAAAATAAGCACATCCTTTACACAGAACACACTTCTGCACTTTAATGTATAATGACTGTTTATTTGCTGAATCCATCAGAGAAAATAAAACAAAATGTGGCAGAAAGTTGTATTATATTATATATTTAATGTTTTTTTCCAATCAATAGATATTGAGCACTAAAAATTTGCAGAAAAAAATATTTAAGTGTGATCTCTGTAAAGAATTTGTTTACTTATTTTAACTTGGAAACAAAGATGCAATTTGACAGTGGGTGTTCAAACATTTGCACATGACTATGTGTCATTTCACTTATCGTCAGACACAAAAGCAGTATTTCAATTAATATATTTGATTAAACACGCTCATGTGCTGTAAGTCCCAGCTTTTTAAATGCCTACAGGTGCCATGCTGGAGCCGCTCCGCTCACCTTTTCGGAGGTAGATCTCAAAGGCCAAAAGGTGTGTCTCAATTTTGTTCCTCACCAGGCTCTTCAGAGGAGTCAGGAACTTAACAGCTTCTTCCAGAGGATTTTCAACCTGCCAACCCAAACACAGTCAACTTCAACCACACAGGAAAAAGAACAGACAGGTACCACCAAAAAGACTAAGACGAGCACACACCTTAGCTAATTTCTCAGGTATAAGCTCCTCTTTAGGTCCTCCAATCTCCTCATCGTCCTCCTCTTTTTTCTTCTTCTGGTTCTTTAATTGTTTCTCTTTCTCTGCGTTTTTCTTCTCCTCTTCGAGCTGAGCTTTCTTCTGCGCCCGCCTCTGTTTGTTGCGGAGCTTCTTCAGTTCCTTATCCGTCAGGTTTGCTTCAAAGAAAGAAAAAGTAATTATGTAAGTATTACATGTAACTACAGCAGTCTAGGCAATAAAACATTTTTTTTTATTATACTCATTTGTATACTTTTATATACTTTTCATATACAGTTATAAATAAAATAAACCTTTTGTTTTCTTCAGAGTGTAAAATACTATTCAGACTTACAACTGAAAATTATTGTTGTTATTATTATTATTATTATTGTGTATAGTACAGGCAATGACTTTGGTTCTCCTGGCAACAATATTGAAAGAGTATCCAGATTATTCTGTTTGGGTCTTTTAGGCTTTTTAATGGATTTTTCATGATTTCTCTTATTGTATCCACTCATCTTGTTGCTAGCTGTCCTTTTTTTTTTTTAAAAGCATGACTGTCTTTCCCAATGAACTGATTCTTTTCGTAACACCTCTACTATTAACTGTCAATATCAAATGATATAAATAAATAGATAGTGCCCAGATCTCACCCCTCTAACCTTCCTTTCTACTTTCATGGAAAAGCATCTCGCCCTGAACTAAACGGTTTAATCGCTTTGTGTATGAAGCATAATGTGCCTTACTATTGTCTGCCTGGGACTCCTTGCTGTCGTCGGAGAGCGGGTTGTCGTGGAGGTTGAGGTAGATTTCGATGGCGATGCGTGCGGCCTTAAAGTAGAACGGGTGCACGCGCAACACGTCCTCCAGCTTCAGCAGAGCCACGTAAGAGCGCAGGGTCATCTTCCTCATACAGTACGTATGGAAGTCAAACTGGTCATCTGTTATTTCTACAAAGTGCTGGAGAGAGGAATCAAAAGAAGAGAGAGACGGATCAAATGGTGAAAAAATTAAATTAACTTTCCTACATACTGAAATATTTGTAGCTGGGTTTCGTGAGGGGTAAGACATCACTCACCCTCTCGATTTCATGACATTTCTTGAGCGCCTCGCCGTATTTGTTCATGGCCTTGTAGGCCAAAGCACATTCGGTCTGAAACCACATACACTGCATCTCATTTAGATTCTCTACCGCCGATGTGCCTTCCTGCAACACAAGCACACACACACTTAATTTTAATATACATCACCATTAAAAAGGTTATATTTTTGGCTTAAAAATCGCTTTGCTGAGTAATGCTGTTATAACAACATTATACTGATACATACGTTTTGCAATATATTGCAGAGGTGGACACTATAATGCGATAATGAACCTTTACCTAGAAAACAGACTCTCTTCTGCACCCAACCTAACTACATCCACTAACCCGTGTGAACTTGGAGCACATCTCCTCGGCCTCTTTTACCAGGCTGGCTTTCAGAAGGTACTTGGCGCATTTAGAGTTGATGAACCGATCAGCAGTGTCCAGGGCCTGAGCCTCGTCCATCCAGCGAGCAGCCTCCCGAATATTCCCAGCATGCTGCAGAGAGAGGGAGAGAAATCCGATCAGGGATGGGCATACTGGTCAAATTTGAAATAGGAATTTTTAAGGAATAATCTGAAAAATATTCATAACGACACTTGCTCTACACTGCCCTCTGCTGGAGCAGAGAGTTCAAATATCTCAGCTGAGACACACATTATGAAAATTTATAACCTTAGACACGTTTCACATATGCTACCTCTGTGTGGGATGAGAGCAGCAGCAGCTTGACTGCTACATCTTACACATGCTGACCATTACTACACATAGTGGCAGCGGTGCAGAGTGGTGCAGCAAGAAAGTTAGACAGACATTCTTTTTATGAATGGATAAACTATCAAATCAGTCACTGTGCTCAATAAATAAATAATTTGTAAAAGAGCACGGCACATTTGTTTGTTGGTACAGTAAGGCGATCGCTTCAAGCCTGGCAGCTCTATTGGGAAATCTGTATTAAGCAAAGAATGTTTAACTAGTACTGAATTAGAGAATTTGCGTATTCAGGTATTTGTCCAGTTTTCTGTTTCATTCTCATTGTTTTTTATGGCTTATTTTACTGTATTTTGCAAAGTTATCTCCTCGCCTGTTCTCTAAACACCATGTGGCGTCTGGGACGCTCTGCTCGCGTAACCTCTTACGCAGCCTGTGTGAAAGCGCTGACCTGTTAACATGGGCAGCGAAAAAAAAGCAAGACATGCTCTGTCGTTCACACCACACAGAGGTAATGTGTGTGAAAAAGTCCTTATAGACAAGCTTATCTGCTTCCTAATTTACCATTCTATTTTTAAACCTTTATAAATATTAAAATTTTCGAACATACCGACTTACCCCTAAATACAGAAACACCCTAAATGTGCTCTTTTTCGGTGAAGTGTGACAGATGCAGTGCAATAGAAACCAATGTGCTCTGAAAAATGACGGGTGTCAACTTATTCATTCCAAAAATCGAATTTGCACAGTTGACCCTAAATGTACATGACAATCCTAAGGTGTCTGAAGTTTGCACCACCAGTTAGTATAGTGCAAACTGCAAGTCATAATGTGATGTGAGGCAACTATGTGATTAAGTTGATTAGTAATCTCAAATAGACTTGTGGTTTCCGACAAACTGTTATCTATTAGTGCATGGCTAAAATGAAACAGGAGTCAGTCTAATTTTATCTGCACCTTTGTCCTTTAACATAGATAACAGAGTGTCAGAAACCACAAAAGCAAGTCTATTAGAGACTTAAGAAATCAACACAGTTTTGATCTTTCAGTTGTGCAGCAGGGTTTTTTACCAAACTATTCCTTGTTGATGATGCCTGTGTGCTTTTACCTTGTAGATCTTTGCCTTAATGAGGAACAGCTCTATAAGCGTGGGGGTGCTTTCGATGGCTGTGTTGATATACTCCAAGGCGGTACCATGCTGGCCTATGTAGTCGAAGTGTTGAGCAAGGAAATACTGAACCCACAGCAGAGTCGTCGGGGGCTCCGTTTTCCCATCATCTGCACAACACATACACAAAGGGTTCAATAACCTGCATTTGCCCACAGCAAAGACAATGTTCAGTCACACTTTATTTGAAGTGTCTCTAATAAGTGTAGTTACATTTTAACAATGCAACAGCATCAACAATTACAATAACATAACTACAGGTGATGTGTTCACTGTAAATAAATAAATAAATAAATAAATAAATAAATAAATATCAGTCAACGGAACCAGTATTTTTTCCAAGTCATTTTGGGTCGTGTGGAATACTTGTGTTGTAACATGGTAACCTGATCAAATCACAAGGATTAACCAATCAGTAATTTCACATTACCTACATCAGGATAAATGGTCATCTGCTGTAGCAGTGTAAATAATGTCGCATTACAGGATAGTTTAAAGCCAGAACTGTGGTTAGGTTACCATGTCACAACACAAGTGTACAACTACAGCTAGTTTGAAGTCAAGACAGAAAAGATCTCGTTAGGAAAAACAGCCGTTTGCTCTTTTACGCATGTGTAATTAGGCCGTTACCACTATCAAGATACACTTGTGTAATTACACGAGTAAAAAGTTAAGTTCATATGCGTGTATTTGCATAAGCTGTGCTACCTCAATCCTACTGTAAGCATGAACACATCACCAGTAGTTACATTTTTGTTACATGTCTTGTTAATGTGTAACTACATAGTTATTAGAGAAACAATGTAAAGTGGGACAATTCTTGTCAATCATGTTTGCTTAGCCCTCATTTCCCAGTTTAACAGGCCCAAAACAAACTTTCCAAGTCGCTGCCCATACTACACAACAGCATCCCAAATCTTGAGGGTGGGACCATCACATATTTTCTCTCGGAAAGTTTCAAATCTACTTCATATCTTTTTGTGGACATAGCTCTCTCATAGTTCTTATAAGCCTAAGAGAATGTTAGCTTCAGTAAATGCTTCTTTTCAATGGCAGGTAGAGAATTCTCTCACCATTTTGGCTGAACATTCGACAGCTTCTCAAACTTTCCTCGTAGCTGACCACTAACTCCTCGATGATCGACACCTGCCAAGAGACCAATTAAAAGACTGATCTTATTCACATTTTTGTCACATCAACACTCTTTCCTCTTCACTACAATCTGTGAGCCTAATCTTAATGCGTCTCACCTTCTCTTTGTCAGTGTAGAGTGATTTGAGTGTGGTGAATAGAGGAGGGCATCCTTTAGTGAAGTTCATCCTCAGATAACGGTCCAGACACTCTCTGAACTTCTCCCCTGCACAGACCCACACCAGCACAGACAAAAAAAGGCATTAGAGATATGTGGCTGAATTGCTGATATACAACATCATAATGGGGGAAAAGTTGTGAAAAGCCCAGCAGGGCTTCCCAAATTTTTATAAACTTGTAAATCCATACAATGTACTTAGAAGCACCTTTAGAAAGTATGTATGAAAAAACATCTGTTCTTTTTAACCCTGCTAACTGTTTTGTTTAATTATTTCTCACTCATAGCTCCCTAAACAAGGAGAGTATTGAGTCTAAAGTATGGATTTCAACCTTTTAACCACATCTTTCATAAGTGTAAAAAAATAAATAAATAAATAAAAAAAAATAAAATAAAAAAAGACTGGTGATTTAAATTTGCTGAAAAGGCAAGTGTAGAGTCAAATCTGTAGAGTACAAAAATTGTATGTACATGTATTCATTATGTAACTATGTAATCATGTAATTACATATCTATTATTAGGTGATGCAAATGAAGTGTACAGTAAACTACTGATACTTTGAATGCTTTGGTCGATAATCGACTGTCATTAGTTGGTGATTAATCGCAAACCAACAGCCCTAAAACAGAGGACAAAATGAATAGTTCTGGTTCTAAAATCTGATTTGAGCCACATTCAAAGCCACTGTACAGTTCTTGATACAAGTTCATATCAACTGAGGTCCATATTGATACACCAAGACAAAGTATTCCTTGTGTGGAGTGTATTTGGCCAGAGACCGTATTATACCTTCACTACAAAAGGAACCTGGTTTTGTTTGAAGCGATGGGCTGACAACGAAAATACATTCATTAATATATGACCAAAACCTAAAAGGTTGATGAAATGACTATATAATAATGGGCTGCTGAGTTCTATAGTTATAAAGTTAGTTATATATATAGTTTTGCAGCTTTAAATGAACATAAATGCCATAACTAGGTCTAGCTCAGTGACCCTCAACAGCTCAGTGAAGTCGTTGCTGTCCACCACGTCCTTCTCTATCATTTTTACGCACCCATGTGTGATTTCCTTACACCAAGCACCTCACTCTCCCTCAGAAAACATGGATGAAGTGGTCTTTTCAATTCTAGATGTTTGCTTGGTGCAGGTGTTACCTTTCTTTATCCAATAACAATGGTGGCATAATATTTTAGCCATCTTTTAATGGTTTATCAGTTAGGTCATTCACATCCATACAGCAAACCAATAATCATTTTAGACTTCCAAGCATTCAGCACCCACCTCTGAAACCCTGTGAAATATTACAACTCTAGCCGGTACTCACCGCTGAGGAAGTTTAGGGGCAGCCGTCTGGGCACTAAACCTTTAGGAAACTTGACACAGGCATCATCGTAGATCTTCTGCCTCTCCTCCACACTCCCTAAACACACACGAGTCAAAGGCTCCAGTCTAAGGACTCACAGCTGTAAACTGCTGTAAACAAGATGAATCTCTTTAGAATCATGTGTTTTTATACCTGGCTTCAGTGCACTCTCCAGGCCCTGGTAGTAGCTCCAGTTCTCAGGATTTCTCTCCTGCAGCCTGCGATAAACCTCAGTCGCCTCATCAGAGCGATCCAACTTCAGCAAGAGCTCTCCTGCAAATATAGAGAAGCACACAAAAATCATCTCTCTGAAATGTATCCCCCTATGAAATCTGTGTCAACAACTGTCCAATAGACACGAGCACACAGCCATGTCATCAAAACATCTCCCCACAATTGGAGACATGGCACTAGGTATCACATCAAGCTGATGTCATCAGATGCTGCACAGACACAGGAGCGGGGAAGAAAGCTGTGTGATGTCATGTGGATATCCGTTGGGTAGTAGAGTGTTTGAGTAGTTTGTACATGAAAGCCTACTTTTAGATTCCAAAGTGAAGTACCATCTTTTAATAATAGCTCATTTTAAAGCTTAGTAGTTTTTAAAAGAAAAATATATTGGCTCAGTATCAAACAATACTACAGGTTTCAATATCAGTATTGGAAAAGAAAAAGTAGTCTTGTTCCATCTCTGCTGAACTTGTAACATGTATTGTGTCATAGCTTTTGCTGGTGATAATAAATGCATGCTGTAATTTATATTCATTATTTCTCGTTTTTTTACAGGACATGTCCAGTGCATGTGCTGCAAAATTCTTCTTCTGCTTTCTTTGCCAGTGCCTTGACGCTTGAGGGGCGTGTCTGTCTACAACGCAGAACACGTATGAAGCCGTTGATGAGCTGTGGATTTCAAATATATTTTAATTAAATTCTCTTCTCAAGTAATCTACTCCTGTAAAATTAGAGAGCTCACTATAGTTCAGTATATGTTGGGTGGCAACACAGGCCATCAACCAACAAAAAAGATATGTATTAGCCTGCTATGTTTGCTATTCAGTGCCATCTATAAACTCAACAGGAACACTGACAATGTCAGACTTTCTCCCGTTACGTATTTGTTTTAATTTTGTCTTTGTATTCATCTTGAATCATACAAAATGAGGAACCCCGACAAAGCGGTTATTAATATTCCTTCCATGTCTTTGCCTACGTAGGCACATCCTCACTGTGCACAAACAGTGGAAAGTTGCTTTTGGTCAACTGGTCAGCAATATGCAGCTGTTGCATGTCATTTGCATAAAGTTGATGCTGGCTCTACTTTTCTCACCACATTGTGAGTCATGCTTGTGCCACTCACTATCCCACAATCCCTTGTGCATTAATAGGGGTGAAATTTCAGATGTCGAATTTATGTGCAAAAGACATACAGTTACTGAAACCAACGGTGTGGCAAATTTCTGTTCAAAGTGCGGATTGTGAACGCAGCCTCTTTTGAAAAAAGATCAAAAAATCCCTTACTTTTTATCATGTCTGTCATTACTTGCTATCAAAACAATTTTGAAAACGCAGACTATAATTCATTATATAAGTAACAAGAGAGATTATAACTAAATTTTATTTAAATTGTATAGCAAAATAAGGACGATAACTCTAAAGTTACAAGAGTTTTAGATGCACATACACACCTTTAGTTTCCTCCACAGCCAGTTTGTCACAGATTTGTTTCTCATAGGTGGTCAGGTGAATCAGAGCCTCTTTGAAAAGCCCAGCCTCCCTCAACACCTGATTTTGATACAGCAACAGTTCACTGTACTCATAATCCACCTTATCTGGAGATGTCTGAAACACACACACACAAACAATGTTAACAGCGCCCTTTTAATCTGGCAGAAAATGCACTCACACAGGCATGAGTTTGCTTAGGGCAACAAGGCCAGCGTGTACTCAGACAAGCTGGAGTTGATTTGGTTTAATCTGGTGCTGTGAGAGTGAGCATGTTTGAGTTCTACAGTCCTGCGCTAAAAACATGGCTTTATCCCTCCCACTGAAACTGCCACAAAACATAAATGCAACTGCAAATCATCTACAAAAAGCACAACACAGCTTCAGTAAGCCTAATAGGGATTACTAGGTTTGTACAAATGCAGAGGCAACACTGTCTAAAGTTGGTGATTCAACTTTATGAATCTGGAATGTTACAATCGTTATATTGTTATAATAAAATTCAAAGCACTCAAATTTGAAATTTCAATTTTGTTTCCACCAAAGTGCAGAGAACACAAATCTATGTATATTTAGTATATTTCACTTGCGTGAAATTAGTACTATCATAAGTTCTGTCTTCTGTGTATGGCATTAAAATAACCAAATTACATTTTGTTGCAAGGTCTAAATAAACAAATTTCATGCCCTTGATAGATATTGTATTTAACCAATCAATATCTCAGTCACTTGCCATGATTTACATCATTGCACAAATTATCTAAAGTCCAAAGTTCCACAAGACATGAAAAACGAACATAATGGTAATTCTGGAAGCTACAAAAACCAAATCAAAATTCCCATTTCAACATGTAAGTAATGAGTTGAGAGGGAGTCCTAATAGACCTGGTATTCCAGTCTATGGAAAGGGGCCAATGGAAGAGAAAGCAGGCAAGAAAAACACAAGAGTGTGGAAGATTGAAGAGCACGTGCATAAAGGTGACCCATGCCTGCTGAGTTTTGCGGAACTCCTCAACTATCTTGGCTGCCATCTCGTAGTCCTGTAGAAGGTGATAGGCAATGGCATACCCGATCCAGGAGGCTCTCTGAGCTGGCCGCAACTGCAGCAACTGATACCGGGTCTCCTAGAAAACCCAGGACAGAGGGGTCAGGATTAGAAAATACAGGATATATTTTGGTAGGGGTAGAAAACTGAACACAATACAATGCAGTACTGCAATGGGTGAAAACTTTTTCCGCAATACACAGACGCTCAAGTATCGTCTCTCAGCACTGAATGTCAATATTCTAATTGTAATATTCTAATTACTAATGGAATAAGAAATTACATGCTAAATTAATCTGTGTGAATGGAGGAAGCACGCTAGAACATTATGAATGCAGGAGAACTTTCTGGATCAAGATGAATGGGGCAGCAGCACAGAACCATGTGAATGTGGGAAATGACATTACAAAACTGTGCGAATTGAATGGAAAACACTCTAGAATCAAATTACTGTGGGAGAGAGGATTCCAGAACTGTAACTGTGGGACAGAACACTGCAAAACGGTGTGAATGAGAGGGAGAACATTCAAGAGTCGTATAAATGTGGGGCAGAACATTCTAGAACTTTGTGAATGTATGCGAGGACTAGGAGTGGGAATGTGACATGATATCCACAGTCATCATCATTAACTACATCACATACAATAGGCTTTTCTGAATTTTTTATTTTTTTTTTTTCCCCCAACTGTCTCCCCAACTTAGACGTAATCAATTCCACCCACTAGTTACCAGCAGTCACGATACCACCCGTGCTAAAAGGGCAGAAGGCTACCACAGGTTTCCTCCGATACCTGTGAAGCCAGCTATCACATCTTTTCGAACTGCTGTTCATGCAACATCATGGACAGTTGAACGCACTCAGTGACAACCACCAGTTCTGTTACGTCAGCTAACAGACGCCTGCACTGGCTAGCACTGCGCTGAGTGATGGGGGATCCAACCGACCCAAACAGAGCGAGGTCAACTGTGCTCTCTTCGACTCCCAGCCACCGATGGCTGTAGCATCACCAGGGACTGAACTTGAGACCTCCTCATGATAGGGGCAATGCTTACATGACCGCGCTACTCGGGATCCCTTTGATATATTTTTTTGCAGCATCACTAACCTCTATGGAGAACATTCTAGAACCATTTGTAGAGGTAAACTTAGCTTTACATCACTTCTCTCTTGCTCTTACTCTATAGCCTTCGAGGTCCCTCATCTGGATCTGCAGCAGGGAGAGGTCTCTGAGGATCTGCAGATTGTCTTTGTCCCATTTCAGGGCATTCCTGTAGCACTTGATGGCTTCGTCATACTTCTTGTCTGAACGTTGCAGCAAACCGTACACGTGCCAACCTGAGAGGAAGAAGTCAAGGATGGGAAACAACATGCTGCCTGCTCCATTTAACAACATCCATACTAATGTTATATGTCACTGATCCTTTGAGGGAAATACGACATTTCAGTGATTAACTGCCTTGCCCGACGGCACAACCAGGAATACCCAGTCAGTCCTGGGATATGACCCTACCTGCCCAGTGGATTCTATTCAAATTTTGTTGAGTCAATGCATTTCCTGTTCTTTTCCAAGAACAGGGAAACTTTTGTCCATTGTAATCAATCATATGTGACAGATGGAATACAGGTCTGAAAGCACTACAGTATTCCTTTATTTTCACATATTATCCAGACATGAAAACGAGCAAAACTAAATTTCATACCTACAGTACTCTGAAGACGAAACCTACGCCCCTATAACCTGATCCACTGTTGCCACATTACAAAGAGCATCAAGATGATGTGCACACTGTAGGCTTTGATGCTATAAAACTATTCTTTCAACCTAATAACTCACATATTCCTCATCTAAAGCAGCAAAAAAAACATGTGGAGGATACAGACATGACTCTTCAGGTCATTGCGAAGGCCTCTTCTGACCAGTTCATATGCTTCTTCTTTTCTTCCCAAACAATTCAGGGTCAGTCCCTTCATTGCCAGCGTCTCTGAGAGACAGAGAGACACAAAAACATGCAGCCAATAAGAATGTGCAATGGGTCAAATTCAGGTTCATACAATTAAACAACATTAAAACAAATACATTACAGGGGAATTCCACCAATTTATCGAAATGTACTGCGTAATTAACCTGTAAAGATGTAAATAAAAATGGGGGCTGAGGAGAAATGAGTGATTTAATGAGAAAGTAAGCTTCTCTAGTGTGGAGACTATCAGAATTGTTTGCAGCAGTGATAACCAAAGCATCTAAACTACAGGGAGATTCACTCGAAAGAGGCCCTGAATATTCTGTAATAACTCTCGCTAGGACAAAGCAATCTGAGCGAAACATCGTGCAATGTGCTCCTCAGTATATGGAGCTTTGAACAAGCCAGGATGCCCCTGCGTCAGAGTGATGAGGTAGGCGCCGAACAGCCATCACGACGTTTAACCTCTCTAATGCTTGCCGATATGTTCAGGAACATGGAGTGCCGTGTCGAAATGTGTCTGCCAGAAAACAAGATCACTTCCAGCAACACATGTAATGCAATCGATTACAAATACATCAAGGTATGTCGCGTATTTTTTTTGGTTCAGATTGCTTCATCCTAATGGGAGTTACAACAGAATATTTGGGGCCTCTTTCGAGTGAATCACCCTGTATTTAATGCCTCTACAAGCTACCTCAAAGATACTGATTACATGAAAAGGCTACTCATTGTTTGCCTGATGCCAGAGACCTTGTTTTATGATCGTAATATAATTATTGTGATTTTTTTTCATTCAACACAGAGGTACATACAGGCCGTTCAAAGAAAAAAAATGAAAACCTTTTTTTTTTGGCGAATTCACTATTTTACCATTATCAACATTACATACAAAAACTCAGTATTCATGGGTCATTTATAATAGCAAAAATATTAAAGTATTTTGAATGACTGAATTACGCAACTGCTGAAAAATTTGCAAAACTGGTGGAAATCCCCTTCAGTGTAAATCAGTCTTACCTCCATGTTCAGAAAACTTTGGGTTTGAAAGGATCTGCTTGCAGAACTTCAGCCCATTTCTGTATTGCTTGTGTTCATAGCATCGCTGCAGGAGAGGAGAAGAAAAATTAGTTTAAAGCAGACAAAAAAGGCAGATTAAACAGGTTAATACTCCCTTTTCTAAGGGCGCTTATTTATTCCTCAGCCTCTGAGTCAGAAAGCTTAGCGTATAAATGTGAAGAAAGCCCAACTGCGTGAAAAAACGCTTCTTCTCAGATACTTTCTTTGACATGTAACCTGCAGGCCTCCTTGCATATGACACTGTCAGTGGTGCTGCCAAAAATGCCAGTCCCAGAAAGCAGGACGCTGATTACTAACAGATCCCCATCTATGCTGTCAGCACAGCAGTTTAGGCATCCACAGATCTGCCTGCCAAATATCCACACAACAGTAACGTGCAGGAATGCCCCCCTGGCACAGGGAGGACTGTGCGCTGCTGCTCCTACTGGGATCGTGCTGCAGTCCCACAGAGACAGAGTGCAATTCTGAACACTGATTTTGCGATTGGCACTGTGTACTTACTCGCACTAGACCAAGAAACTCTGCTACGACTACATGGTCATTTAACACAAAACGGCCTCAGAAAACTCCAACAACAGTGGTACAAACAGGTCTGCGTAATACGACAAAAATAACATCACAACACTTAGACATTTTCTCTATACAGAATATGCACCATGATAAATATGAGGCTAAATAAGCTGGAACAGGCAAAAAAAATATCCAGCAGTGCCACATTTAAAGGGCCCATATCACATATACAACTTTTCCTCAGTGTGTCATAAGCATTTGATGCAGTATGCGATTACTGTTTAAGTTTCAAAATGCACTACTCACTCCGGTGTCCATATGGAAACAACGCTGTAAAACAGCTTATTTTGAATTTCACGGCTTTTGTGATGTCACGAATACTAACACATTTACATAAAGCCTCCCATCTTGCCGACAGCAGCTTAGCTCAATCAATTCACACTGAAATTATACATTATAAGCAGTGCTTTAGCCTGGAACGCTTTCTAGCTGGGGCACGATACAGATTAGCCAATCAAAACAGAGCTCATTTACAATATTAGTCTTAAAGGCACAGAAACAAAAACAGCCTGGATAAAGAGAGCTTGGAAAATGGTCATGAAGAAATGAATAATGACTGTTTTTGATACATAAATGACACAAACATAACGGATCTCGGGGAAAAAAAGAGAGGAAAAATAAATCTAATTAAAACAAGACTTGCAAGACATGCAGCCTTTAAATAGCAATATACACAATTTGCTCATAAAGACATATTTGTGATGCAATTCATCGTGATAATACTGCTATGTTGCCAGCCTCTAAGTATAAACACCACCACTTTAATCCATTTTGAAAAACTGCTCTCAAATCAAATTTGTGATTCCCTCTGCTTTAAAGAAAAAGACTTCAGTAATTAAACTTAAACATGACTGCAAAATGTCCTAAAAAGGCATGAAGGTTAACAGAAGACCTGCATTCAGTTACATACATGCATTGTGACATTTGGCCAGTTCATTATATTTATAACATTTGCCTTCAAAGAATAAAATGTACACAACCTTCGCCCTTCCTCAAAGTCTAAATAACAAAACTTACGACACCAAACGTTTTTTGGCCGGCTGCCTTTATTTAGAGAAAGTGGAAAAGCGTGTACATTTGTTTTTTTGGTGCACCATTCCTGACGTCAGCTAGTTTCACTTTCTAGGAATAGGGTGCTCTTTGGGGCTGGAGGAATTCCACAAGCTTGCTGAAATCATTTTGGTAAACCTAACAGGCAGTTAAAGGCACAGCTTTAAAACCCAGAGTATTTCTAATTAAAGGGCTAATATCACAGAAAAACAAATTTCCTCGCTTTTCTGAAATAATGGCATTTAAAATAGTATGTAAACATTGTTAAAGCTTCAAAATACACCAGTCACTACCCAGTCCATACACGGAAACTACGCTGCCCGTTTTGAATCCATTGTTTCTGTGATGTCACATAGAACAAACTCAGTTATTCTGCCTACAGCAGTTTGGCTACATCCATTCAGCTCTCTGGACTTTTTGAATGTGGCAGAATACAGAGCAAACAAAACAGATATGATTTACAGATCTCAGTCTTAAACACACTGTGAAAAAAATCAGCCTGTTTATCTATACAGAGAGGTCATTTCAAAAGGAATTATGACCACTTTTGACTACACAAATGTTACACGTGGATATCGAGAGAAAAGATAAAAAGCAAAAAACTAAGATACAGACCCTTTAACTTTCTCTGGTCAGAGTACACTGAATGTAATGGCTATAAGAACTAGAAATGCTGATCAAAGTGAGCATGGAGGCAGTTCATTCACAAAGGCATGCTGAGAGGATTTAACTGGGCCACATGTCACTCAGTCTCACACTATTAGCATTAACTTTTTAGTACCAACACCTCAGAGAAAAGCATAGCTCACAACTTGTCATACTGGTGGCTAATCAACTGACCACAACGTGCAGCTCCCCTAACTTAACAACTCTTAATCTACAACCAAGTCTACATTAGACACTATACATGCTTGTGTCACACGCTTCTTAACAGTTTTCCCTTTTATTGATTCATTTACAGCTAATTACTCAACCAAATAAGTAGCTTAAAGGGGAATTCCACCCAATTTTCAAAAACTTTTACATAATGAAATGGCTGAGAGGTGAATAAAGTCATACAGAGTGGTTTGGTGTGAAACTCAGAATTGTTCAAAGTGGTGGTGATAGAAACCAGACATCCACCTTTAAAAGCTTGCTTACAGAAAGTTATTACATGAAATGGTTATAAATACACTGCTTGTGTCTCTGACATTGTTTTCTGAAAGTTTTGTGATAAATGTTTGGCTTGAAACGTGTTTTAATCCATCATGGTGGAGGGGTGCATGAGGGGTGTTATAAGGCAAAAGAGCCCCCTTAAGAAACTTATTATTTATAGCTATTTTACCATCAACATTCTATATAAACACTCAGAAAACTCCTGAAGATTTACTTTTGGTTTTGGATGGTAAATAAAAAAATATATTTGTGTTGTAGGCATGGCTCCCATCACCACCACTGTAAAGAACTCTGCAAATGAACCACCTCACATCAAACCACCCTCAATGACTTTGTTTACATATTAATCATTTAATCATGCAGAAATTTTGAAACACCGGTGGAGTTCCCCTTTAAGTAAGTTAGCTAACCAGCTCCACCAGGGTGACTGTACAAGTGACTACAGTAAGGTCAGCGAGCGTTACCTAGGTTAGCTAGCTTGTTACTATCGCCTTAACTAAATAAGCTGATGATTTGATAAGTCAGTAACGTCGTTATAGGAAACCTAGACATTTATTTTTCGTCTAAAAATCACACAGCGGACTGCATTTCGCGAGTTTAGCGACACCAAAGTCTCCCAAACAGAGGCTAAGTTAGTTACGAGGATGAAGTTGGCTTCCTATTCGCCAGCTTCTTGTTCGAATTTCTCGTTCCACCTTAAACGGTGCAGCAGTTACATTCCGGCGCCTGTAACGGCTGCACCATTTAAGGTGGAACGGAGGAAATTCGAACTAGAAGCCGACTTCAGCTTCGTGGCTAAGCTAGCTAACCTAGCTGACAGAGCATGGATAGCGTCAGTAACTCTTTAAACGACCCCCCAAAGCTCGGTGTCCCTGTAGCTGGCTGGCGGAGTAACTGTGCAGACCCTGGACCGGACTCCCGGGCAGCTGTGTGCGAGTGTCTGTGTTAATGTCAGACGTTAAAGAGCCAAAGCGGCTGACACGCACAGTGGCCAACAAACATCCCTCAACTTACCAATATCCTCTTAAAGAGAGCGTTCTCTTTAGGCGGCAGCGCTATGGAGGGCATTGTAGCCTTGTGCAGCTATGCTATAACATTAAGCAGAGCTGAAGTCTCTGTCCTGTGCCGGACTGTGTGTGTGCAAAGCGGCCGAACCGAACCGCGATGTGTGCCGGACTGACTGTCTTCACGTGGTGACACAAGGCCTGCAGAACCCAAATGGCGGCTCGCGCATCAACTGCGCGTGCGCAGCGGTAGTGGGGAGGGAGGCCCCCGCACAGAACCAAAATGGAGAGTTTGTGGTGGTGACAGAAAGTACCCTTAACCAAAACACTGATCATCTGAGCGTGTGGTGACACAAAGTGTACGGTTTAGAATCAAACTAGTGATCACCTGCGCATGTAGTGACAGTAAACGTACACTTTAGAATCAAAATAGTGATAATCTGCGCATGTGTAGTGACCAAAAGCCCCCTGCAGAACCTAAATAGTAATAATCAAATGAACATGGCAGAGTCAGTCAGAACTAGTGATAATCTGCGTGGGTACATCAAACTGCTAACACTTAATCTATGTATGAATGTATGACATGTCAACAAATGTGCAGCATTATCGTTTTACTGAAGACCAGCATTTTTATTCAGTGTTACTTTTTTATGAGGTGCAATGTGCAAAGCATGACTTGGAACCTACGGAACACTTTTTGCAAATTAAACGTGACATTATAGAGAACTAGAGTAAAGTCAAACTGAAATCTGACGTTTTATTTATTTGTCTCAGGATCAGTGTTTTTTCCACGATCGATTACTCTGTGTGCGCCTAGGAGGGGCAGAGCCGTCTATGGGCAGAGCGGTCCGGTGAATCAAACACCTATCAAATTGAGCAAGACTGGAACAGCAGCGCGTCTTTTTTGCTAAACGCATTAAAACGTGTTAAAATGCCTGCAGGCCGCTTACTATTACAAACTACAGCACTGACTAAGAGTGAGTATCGAATATACACTAACCAGTAAGGCTCTTCTTCTGTTTTAAATTGAGAGGAAGGCTTATAATTTGGTCGTTTTAGCCAGTTAGCACAGTGATATCAGGCCTGACCTTAGTTTCTCCTAGTTAGCCAACAGCAGCTAAGCTCAGTGTGTGTAAGGTTAAAAGTCGTATTATCAGTGATGAACGTATCAATAATTTGTTTTTGAATTGTAATATGTTTTGGCTTGTATAGACTCGGCTAAATATTCGTTAATGCAGTCACGTCACGTCATATTAGCCAGCTGACTGACATCGTACTAGTATTTTGGGTATGAACACCTTGCTGGGTGGTACTGTTAAAATGCAATATCGCGATATTTTTTAGGTGATATTTACGTTTGCGGTAGTAAATATAGGTTGGAATAATAGGTGGAAAGCCATTTTTCCGTCTCAGTCCAAAAGGTTCTTACATATTAACAGGAAAAAAAAACGTTTCAATGTTTTTAACACTGTGAGTGGCAAAAAATGCAAGGAGTATTTTGAAAACTAAATCTACCACAAAGAAAATCATTAACAGGGTAAATAAGTGACAGAATCTTGAAGTGTTCCTTTACTTTGGAAGGGGCTGGAAGTTTAAGGGAATTCTGTAGCAGCCTTGACCCACATAATGGGTTGTACATTGTTATAACTAACAGCTCTGTTGAACCCTACAAATAAAGTCATTTATAGTCCTTCTTATTCACATCACTAATAAAGTGAATGCCCTCATTCTTCATGAGTTCTACTACTCTATGTTAAAAGAATATTCATAAACCTGACAGAGCTTATTTTGTTCTGCTTTTGTCTCTTAAAATGACACCAAAGCAAACCTTTGATAGTATTGTAAATACAGAAATCCAGAAAGAAAAGAGATTTCCAGAAAGGAACGTGACCAGCTGTTTAGTCTTTATGTGTTTTAAACTTACAAAACAATCTGAAGCAGCCAGCAAATCACATGCTTTGAAAATAACTGTCAGGTCCTGGATATCATGAGTGAAGCACACAAAATAGCATTATAAAAAATGCTCGGCAACAGTGGCATTTTTGCTAATGTAGCTAAGCTGAAGTAGCAAAGTCAGGACACCAAACTTGTCTTGGCCAATAGACTATGTTAGGGAAAGATTTTGGTGGAAACATATCTTTAATCCACGTAGCAAATTTGAATTTCACTGTTGTCTTGTATGTGGACTTTATTCGTTTCCTTTATTTTTTTATTCCTGTACTTTTTTCTTTATAGCTATTAGCAGAAATGCTTTCACTGCAGCCAAGCCAGATTCCTCTAGACCAAACATGCTGCGAGTGGGACTAACATTTGGGAGCACTGCTCTCCTGTGGGCACTGGTAATACTACCATGTTTATTGTCTTAGAATGAACCACTGACCTTTTTTTGCTCTTAGACCACAGCTAATACATTTGCTTGTGTCCCATTAGCTTTTCAAACAGCACAGCACTGACGTGCAGGAATACAAGACAAGAAATGGACTGGAATAGTTCCTCTCAACATGTAAGCAACACTCCTTACCTGCACCATTAAACAGTATTTCTGTTGCTAGCAGTAACCAGCCGAAAGCTGTGTGAGATGGATTTAAAGTAGTATGTCACAATTACACATTGTTTCCAGTGCTGACTAAATATCTGCTTAGATACAGTATCATATTTATCAATATGTTCAGTAAAATATACATGATGCTTGCAATGATTTATTAGTTCCCCCTTAATATTGCAGGAGAATGCTAATGAAATCGATGTGACATGTTAGTCATTTTAGTAAGCCTGTTTATTCATTGTTTTCCTCTCTCTCTCACTCTCCAGGGCATATTTCCAACCTCTGTGTCATGTTTTTGTGAAAACATTTTCCCCAGTGTCTGTGGTCCACTGCTCTTGGATGATCTCCTGTAATGTATAATAAAGATATTTATATATTAAAAGTCTTTTTATGTATTCATCACATTCCTTTACACACTTTTGCAAATGCATGTCGTGAACAAGATAATAGGTAATGAATCCTAGTTTGTGTGGATGTAACTGTTCTATGTTATTTGTTGTGATTACAGTAAGCTGTAGTGGTCTGCTGGAAATTTAAAATTTTGTGTTCATGGCCTCAAGCAAAAAGTGTACCAATAAAAGCAAGAAGATGGTTTAGTTGATTTACTCTGCCACAAAATCAAAATAATGTGCAGAGCCTTCATAACATTTTTATATATAGATGGGTAAATCTTTGTCTTAGCCTTGATTAAGATACTGAATGCTGATGGTTAGTCAGTTCTCTCCAATGTAACAGTGTGGTGGTGTTCATTTAGGAGCCACCTGGTCACAGGTCAGCTATTTCATAAATATGAATGAAATAAGAGGAAACATAAATGAATGTTTATATTGGATAAAATGAAAACTGGGTTGAAAAGTCATTGGAAAGCCCATCAGTCATCAAGTCTGCAGTTGTAATTAATTGCAATGAATTATGCAAACACTGATTTTAATTCCTACATTTGCGCCGTGCACATAAGACTAATATTTAGTACACCCACCAGTTTTATCACGTGATATTTTAATGTGTCATAGGACCTGCTTTTCACCATCCATAGAGCAAGATATAAGAGGTTTTATTGTTAAAAGTCCCCCTCCACTGTCTGGCAAACCTAATACTGTATTTGAGGTATTTAGTGTTAGTCATAGTAACAGTACTACAAATATCAGTAGCAGCCATACCCTTTATATAATTTCCACCTCTTGAGTCTTTTAATTTGAATGGTCCACTTCTGCTGTTCATTGGCCAGCATAGGTAACTTGATCACTTTTAGATTGATGTACATAATAGTAATATAGATAATACTTAGAATAATAGTAAGATTATTATTATTATTATTATTATCATTATTATCATTATTATATTGGTTAATATTAGAATTTACTTTTATTTAATAGTGGGCTTTATGTTTGTAGCATTAGTTATTGCAGTACTATTGCTCTTCACAAACGTTACACATCTTGAACCTTTTATTGCTATAATTACTAGCCAAGTGCAAGCATAGATACAGTGGGGTCCAAAAATGTAAAACTACATTGAAAATCTGAGAATGCTTTAATTTAAACCTGGAAATAAAGAACAGAATGTTTTAGAATCTTGAAAAAAATAAAACAAAGAAAAGTTATGTAAAATTAAGAAAAACATTCAAGATTCTGCACTATTTCTAATTCAGATTTGAGTGGATGTGTGACTCTGATCATGTTCAGTTCTTTGCAGAAAAAGGTCAGTTTTTTCAGTTATCATTTTTTTACTGAAGCTCGCGTTTGGACGACTAGTGGATCTGATCTATTCTTCAAGGATTTTGTCACTATTTGTGGTCAGAGTCTGTGCCAGCTGAAGTGCACACTAAAGCAAAAGGAGAACAAACACTAAATACTATCATAAGCAGCCTTTTCTTTATTCTGGTTTTCACTCACTGTTATGAGTGAAAAGACTGTTATGCTAATATCATTTGTAATAAAAAAGCATTTTCACTAAAGTGGTCTCAGACTTTTGGACCCCTCTGTATATATTATACATATATATATATATAGTAACCTACTTGACTGTATATGATTACAAGTAGTAGTACCAGTAGAGCTGGACAGTGTGACAATATTTATCGTTATCATGATAAATTACATCACAATATGCTTTTCTGAGCATATTTTGGAAATCATCAATCCTTAAAAATCACCTACCAACTGCATGTTTGTTTAAAAAGAAAGCATAATTAGTCCTGTTTAATTAGATGTGCAGCACAGTGTGTGAAACGTTAAATACAAATAACTGAATTCATAGTTTTTAATAGTATTTTTAATTTTTTGTTGTGACTTATTATAAAATAAAAGGAAGACAAACATTAAAAACAAATCTAAATAGTACTTATAATGCTTTACTATACACAGATCAGGCATAACATTATGACCTATATAAAACTCCAGCAGCACTGCTGCGTCTGATCCACTCGTACCAGCACAACACACACAAACACACCACCACCACGTCAGTGTTACTGCAGTGCTGAGAATGATCCACCACCCAAAAGGTACCTGCTCTGTGAGGGTCCATGGGGGTCCTGACCACTGAAGAACAGGGTAAAGGGGGCTAACAAAGTATGCAGAGAAACAGATGGACTACAGTCTGTAATTGTAGAACTACAAAGTGCTCCTATATAGTAAGTGGAGCTGATAAAATGGACAATGAGCTTAGAAATAAGGAGGTGGTCATAATGTTATGCCTGATTGGTGTATAAAGCAATACTAATTTATGATATTACTTGTTTTGTTTGCTGATAATGTCAATTGTAATGAAAAAAAATGTATTAATTCAGAAAGAAGGCAAAACAGAAGCATTTTCACCAGCAGTCTCAGATATTTGGACCCCACTGTAACGTTATATATATCATAGTGACCTAGGTTACATGACTATCTATGATGACAAGTAGTAGTAGTAATAATGCCCTTTAAATCAGCTTCTGTCGGGGCTTTTATTTTGAAAGGTCCGTTTTCGTGGTGTAAATCTGCTGCTGAATCCTCACGCCCCCTTGGTGTCTCTCTCTGGGTTCAGTGTCTCTCCGAGCCGCCGTGCTTCACAACCCGGGCTGAGTGAGTGAGGATGTTCGCAGTCAGAGCGGCGTGGCGGCGCTGTGCGGTCCGGCAGGCCCTCACGCTCCGGTCCAGCCTGAATGGAGCCGGTGAGAAACGGGGTTCATTCGTGTTTTAGAACCGGGTTAGTCTGTTACGGTTAGAGTCAGAGCCGGGCCGACAGCAGCCTCGTCAACAGCAGGGCCTGGAGCTGCGGCAGACACTCAGTCAGCGCTTCAGTCAAATGAAAATAAAAGTTATTTAGTAAGATTCACCCGAAAATGAGGAGAAATGTTCATTGTGTGCAGTTTATAGTGTTATAGTTCAGTTGTGAGGGCACAGTGAAGGTCAGGTCAGCTGTTTTCTGCTCATGCATCACATTTTTTTCGGTGTAATCAGACACATTGAACTGACTGTGTGGTTATGCAGCCAAAAAGTACACAATGTACAGACCGAGCACATGGGCCTGAACCCCACACTGTTATTACTGTCATTTCATGATAGCACCATCATATGACTACTGTCATATTATTGTCTCTTTATTTTGAATTTATTTTTTATAAACTTTAAGACTTTTTTAGCCTTTTTTTTTTGTTAAATTGTTCAGTTGCAGTATAAAGCTACCAACTCCCCCACCAGCTCGGTTATAAAACATGAAATTGCGCAACGGAGGGCGGGATAAGCGTGACTGATTTGTTTGGATGGTTTTCTTGTGTTCTTTAATAATGATTGTAGGACTTTTAATGTGTGACCTTCATTGGACTGCAGAGGGGGAGGGCGAGGAAAATGGTTCCTCCGTGATTCACGTGCTGCTGAACGTGAATGTGCACGTGGGGGGGGTGTATACACAAAGAGTGTACAACCCCCCCTCAAGGGTTCTTTAGTAAAGGGAATGGTTCTGTTCAGAACCATTTCATGTCTCATGGTGAAATGGTTCTTCAGACTGATAGCACCAAGAGGGTTCTGCTGTTGTTACAAGCTTGACATAGTAACAACAGCAGAACTCCTTTAGAACCATATGCAACACATTCTCCATCAATCTTGATGAGTCGTTTAAGTCTGAAATGGCTCCATATAGAACTCTAAATAGAACCATTCTTTTACTTAAGAGCCTTTTTACTGAAGAACCATCTTTTTTAAGAATGTAGGTTGAGTGTCAAGCAGAACGGGTCAATATTCTTTGCTCGAAATCCTTTAAATCATTTACAGAAAAGGCCTACCGTGCTCTTCAGCTGCTCCCTTTCATTTTCAGAAGACATTGCAGCAAACATGAGAGAACGGGCTGGGCTGCGTTCTTTGTATTCGCAGGATTGGTTATGGATTAAAACCTGACTGAGGAGGAATTCGGTGGATTCTTTTAACCAGTTTTAACAATGACATGAAAAGCCGTGCAGTATTTTACACAAACGTTCTGCATCAGCATCCAGAAAACCACAACCACGATGTGTCAGTTATCCTACATTCATGTTGACACAGAGATAAGAGCCATAAACCTAAACTGGACTATAGACATACAGCCTATACGTCTGTTCCTGTATGCAAAGGAAATCTGTTTCAGTATATTTGTAAAAGTTTGTGTCAAGTTTGTAGTACATTTCCATTTATGTTTGACACATATGTATTAAACATGGATCCATTTATTTCATCTACTTATATGCATATATTTAATATACTGGCATTTATTTAAATCATAAAATATTGTTAATATGAACAAATATATGTGTATATATTTTTCTTCCATGTTGGTTTGTATTTATCAGTAAAACGTCCGGCTCCCACTAGTAGGAGCTCATAGCTTTTCACTGTTTCTTTGAGTGGGACAGTTTTTGCCAGTTTATCAGTTGTAGCGCTTCAGCTTTGGCTACAAAAACATTTTGATTGGGAAAAATTAATGTCTTGCTACTGTGAAGTGAATTGGAACATCTGGGAATTCAGTTCTTGCATGTAAGAATGTAGGAGCTAATTTTTTTTTACCAGCAGACATCGTTTTAGACGTGTAATAATTAGAATTTCATCTTTAAAAAGTTTGATTTTTGCTTATGAAAACTGAATTAGCGCGTTAAATGTAATTCATAGTAGTAAAATTGGTTCCTTTCAATTAAATGATTTGAGAAAACTGAAATCATACATGCTTAAATATCATTTCTACTAGTAAAGTAGCTGCTACTGTTTAATCTACTGACATTTTTACTTGTTCACGTTGAATTCTGCATATCAAAAATTGTGGATTAAAAACTGAAACGGCTTTTCATACCATCTTCCCTAAGAAGGCTGTACTGGTGTAATCTACTGACACAGCATCTCTAATGCACGCACTCTCCTTCTCTTTGTGTACCCTTTGACTCCTGAGACAGATTAACAGATTAGCTGGTATAAATAACACTCTTGTGTCTAGAGCCTTTTTTCTGTAGAAGGGCATGAGTGACGGGATTAAGAGGGAGAATATGAGAAGTTTTTCCTCCTAGAAATACAGTATAGTCCAGGCCCTCTGTTATTTCCTGGGCTGTCAGATGTTTTGAGAGAGTTTGTCCGCAGCCCTGGCCGCACTCCCAACTCCATTATTTTGGTAATTACAAGTCCGATAAGGACACTGCAGGTCTGCGCGTGCAGAGCGGAAACTGACACGAGTCCAAGTGGCTTTGTAGTAAACAAAAAGTTTGGCCCCAGCGTTTTGGCACTGATGTAATTAGGATAAGCAAAGGGAAAGGTGGAAAAAAAGAAAATGTCAGTCTAGGTCATTTATCCCTTAGGATTGAACTGGTTTATCCTGCTGTTGCTTTAAGACAGATATATGCAGATTAAATCTGTTCTGATTGGCTGCCCTGTCCTCATTATAAACAACCATTATAATTTCTGTGAGATTGAATGCGACTAAACTGCTGTAGGCTAACATTTAGGCTAATTTAACAGTGTTTAAATACCACACACTTAAAAATGATGGTTCTTCAAGGGTTCTTTAGTGAAGAAAATGATTCTATGTAGAACAATGAAGACTCAAAGAGCCCTTTGCATGATTAAAGGATTCCTCAGATTGATAGAGAATGTGTTTTAGGTGGCTCTGTACAGAACCTTTTTGAAAAGGGTTCTCTATAGCACCAAAACAGTTTTTCTATTGTAACAAGCCTGACATTGTAACGATAGAAGAACCTTTTTTGCTGCTGTAGAGAACCCTTTCCATATACAAGGGATCCTTATAGAGCCATACAGCACATTCTCCATCAATCTGAGGAATCCTTTCCTGATGCAAAGAACCCTTTAATCATGGAAAGGGTTCTTTGAGTGTTCATGGTTCTATGTAGAACAGTTTTTTTTACTAAATAACTCTTGAAGAATCTTTTTAAGTGTGTACATTAAACTCTTATTTCAAAAATAGACAGTAATATTTTGGTTTTGTTTATATGGGCCCTTTATTTCAGTTCAGAAAAGAGCAAAGTCTATATAAAGTTTGAGTTTTACATTTAACTATAAAGATATGCAAGGTTTTAATTACATGGTGCTTTTTGGTTGAAAGCTGCATAGATAGTGGTGCCCTAAATGAGGGCAGAGAAATGTTTGCACATTTCTGAACTTCAGACTTGGTAATTTGTCTTCAAAACACCTAAAAGCAGCCAAAACCTTTAGATAAAGTTTTATACCCGAGTGGTATTTTGAGTCTGTGATTTGCAGATGAACTTTGATTAAAGGCTTAGCTTGTTTCTGACCGGCATATTTATGGACAGCTAAAGCTGTTCCCTGCAGTGCAAGTGCACAGTGATCCTGCTGCTCAGGACGCAGCTCAGCACCTTCTCATGAAAGCCCTGTCTGCAGAGCAGCAGGCTGGTGTTGACCCTTAAGGTCAATCCCTCTGCCAATCACATTAAAAACGTCCTGGGTCAAGAACACCGAGAATGACACACCACAATAGCCCACTCTTAAGCAGGGCTGCCCAGAGTGTGACCCCTGGGAAAAATATAATTTGCACAATTTTCCACCATCAATGTAGTCGTTCGGCTGAGACACATTTGGTGTCCAAATTTTGCTTCTTTAGAACTGGAGCATCGAGGCTAACATTGCTACCAAACACTACAAGTGAATAGTCACCCAAATAGCCCAATAATTTCTGTAAAAATACATGACCAAAAGTGCTTAAACTGCATCCATGTCTTCATCAGTGTCGCACAGACTTGTTGATGTGGTGTAGGAGACTTTAGACAACAGAGTCTGTGTTCGCAAACCACCTCAGGGTCAGGGGGCTGATCTAGAATCAGTATTTGTGACAGTAACAGCCATAAATACGTAGGATTCTAATCTGACATTAGTCCTATATTAGTGAATACCAGCCCTGGTGTTGTATGAAATAGCTGCTCACTGTGTAAAATTATGTAAACTTTTAGAGTTCACAGTAAGTCATACTGGGCTCCAAACCACATCAGCAAGCCTGTGTGACGGTTTGAGCAGTTTGAGAAGATTTTGGCTATTTGGGTGACTATTGTGTTCTAGTGTATGTTAGCAGCATTAGCCTTGTAGCTTCAGTTCTACACTAAAGAAGAAAAATTCGGACCCCAAATATGTCTTGGTGATCGACTACATCTGGGATAAGTGGACTAATTTGTAGATTAGATTTTTTACCGAACCATTCCTTTAAAAGAAAACATGAGAATAAGCAGAGCTGTGGCTACATAAAGCTGGGATCAAGAAGGAACGATTTACACTGTTCAAAAACAGAATACCTTCCTGTTATCTTAGTGTCCTGCATTCTTTTCTTTACAGTTGCTCCTCGGAGGCTGATGTCGTCGGTTCCTGGCGGCACAGGCGAAAATATTGTCTATGTAGTTCTGTGCGGTGGAGCTTTCGCTGGTGCCATGGCATATGTGAGTTATGCTCATCATTTTTTGGTTATATTACTTTCATCAAAAACGATAATTTATTTGATTGTTTCATTTTTTTTAAGGCCTATAAAACAGTGGCATCAGACAGCACCCGCTTTTCTGACCGGGTTACAGAGATCCAGGCACGGCCCAAGGATGACTGGAAGCCCAAACCTTGGCCACCCAAGAGTAAGTCCACCTTACTCTTCCTTTGAGGCTTCATTAGTCAGTCCCACATTGAGAAGGTTGGGGGACATTAGCAATTCTTCAAGGAATTCTGTCTGACCTCTTGCTGCATAATATAGAGGTCACAAAACTGGTCAGCTTACTCATCAGTTACCATGTTGACGGACACTTGAGTGCTGGCTGAGGAGGGGAGTAGGTGAAAGGTCACATTCTCTCTCCAGCAATGAGTGTATTTTTAGCCCAGTATCCATGACACTCAGGTTAAAAATGGTGGGTGAGTTTGTAAAAGCTTCTCATCAGGCTAAGTATAGCCATCAATCAAACACTTTATTCCTGCCCAGTAGAAATGGACCGTACCATTTTTAACAAATATTTTCTCATACTGATGTAACATTAGACCATTTTAAAATGTTTATTTTTGTGGTGCTAAGCAAAAGTCTAAAATAGAATACTACAATATTAATACAGTGTGATATTGCTTTTTGATTTGAAGTATATGCATGATATAACTCTAATAAAATGCTGTTTTGTGCACTTGGTATCCAAGTATCCAGGACCTAGCAGTTAAATGCTATATAGGAAATTTACTGGGTGCTACAGACTGCTTTAAAGAACCTTTAAAAACACAAAGATACATAAATAGTAGGTTTAGTGTCTGGAATTCTGGTTACTGTCTTGTTAATCCTTACAATACTGTGTCAGGTTCCCTGTGGTGTCACATTACGAAAATAAAACAGAGCAAAGCCGTGGCAGGTTTGTAAGACCTTACTTTAGCATAAAGTAGCAGTTCTTAGGACGCCACAGTTCATTAACTTTACTAATGCAAATTAAATGTGATCTGATACTATGATACTGTGATATATTTAGAAAATACTGTGGTGCTGAATTTTATCAGTACCGCCCACCACTAAGTTCTTGTGTAACACTTGTACTCATATTAATGTTGGGCTACCTGTGGCTACTGTAATCATGTGGTCTACTTTACCTTGCTTTATATTATGCTGCACTACAAGCAATTTCTTGATAATTTCTAGATTTATTACAGAATTGAATCAAATTTTTTATTTTTTTTCTTTAATGTCTTATTAGCACACTTCTATACCCTGCTTCATTCCTTTTTTTAAACATGTATTATATTAGAAAACAACTCTAATGCTTCTGGTTCTCAGCCAAACAGCCGAATAGCACTAAATGCTTTATGATATAAACGTGGACATCTACATTTGATATAAATCAGTGGTCATTTAAAAGGAAGCCATTAAGCAGCGTCAGTGTTATTTCAGTAAGAAATGTAGGTGTTTTTTGAGGCCTTTTTGTATTGCGTAGCTAACATTGTCTTTTGTATTTTAGGCGAGGACGGTGGCAAGGGTGAGTATCCAGGTGGTTTTATTCCATTTTTTTTATAAGCATGGCCCTAATTTTCACAATCACAGTGTAAACCATCAGAACAGGAGCATGAGTCTGTTTTTCTCTTGTCTGTGATGAAATATTTTCTTCTGCTCTGCTCTGAAACTTTACTAACATTTTCTGTCTCTGCACTCACTGAACTACACTGCTAATGAACCGCCCTAAAAACTGCATATCCCAGTTGCGTAAACACTTGTGTCTGAATATTGTCGACGTTTGAACTTTTAGTCACAGCTTTGAGAAATTTTCCATTTTGCCATCTAATTTTAGACATCATTATAGAAAGAAACTCCACCTAAATTGTCTTTTATTAATCACGCCCACTCTCAGAAAGTGAAGGAGCCCATTGCATGGTGGCTCCTCCCACTCAGTTAGATCTATTGGCTGATCACTGCAGAACACTGCACATCATGTTGTATTATTAGATCACATGGTTACCCTGTTCTGATTAATGTTATTTTTCTTTACATCAGTTTAATAATGACATTGGCAATTCAGAACATAATGCTGGCTTGTCATGATAGAAAGAGCTTGAACTGCATCAGCTGGCCAGCTGAGAATGACACTGATGGTCTTTCAAGAACGCTTCGTTCTAATAAGTTAGTTATTGGTAAAGCAGTGCCATAAAATGTCCTGGAAGACAACAGAACTGTTTAGTGTTAGATTTAATATAATGTAATGGTTTAATATAATGTAAGATTTCTGGAACATTTTCAGTCACGTAGCCCTTTAAAAATACAATTTTTAATCAGTGTTTGTTTGGTTTTTACCTTCATATCAAAGCTATACGTAAAGAGAAGAAACTCCACTGACCCACCGCTTCACCCTTACTGTACTGCTTCATGTCCATGCGGTATTGTAAGATAAAAAGCATAGCAAATATGCTTTAGGTATACAAGTAAATGAAGTGCTTAAAGGGAAACTACACCAGTTTTTAAATATTTCTGCATAATTGCATTGTTAAGATGTAAACCGAGTCTTTCAGGGTGCTTTGATGTGAAATGCTTTTGTTCTAGACAAGCTTACAGAGTCAGAATGGTTCATAGTGGTGGGGATACGATCACAAAAGTTATTAGATTTTTGTGCTGCATCACAAAAAGTTATTATGTAAAATGTTTAGATATATGCTGCCTGATGTCTGACATTGTTTTATGATATTTTTGGCCTAAAGTGTATATTTTTTTTACACTTTACCAAAGGGGCAGGGTTTTCTTAGGCAAGATAAAGCTCCAAAAAAGCCTGTTTATTAAGACTTTTCACTGCTGTAAAAAATTTTACATTTCTGTACAATTAACTATTTCCCATCAAATTACTCTGAATAAATACACCTCAAACATTGAATTATGCAGAAATGTAGAAAAATCAGTCAATTTGATCAGAAGTGGTTACGTTACAGTTTAAAAGGACTCAGAATGCCCTGGATTTTGAGTCCACAGTATTTTCTCAAAAGAATCCAGCTTTATGGTCTAAATTACTGTGACTATTTTACCAACCATTTAGACAATGGCATTTATTTTGCTGCACAAGCCAACATATGTATATAGATAGTTTTCTTTATTAAATTGGGTTAAAGCTGTAAAGTTGTGAGATTGCTTTGAATATGATAAGCTGCATGATTTTTTGCTGGTGCTCTGTGTTTGTGAGTTTAAAATAGACACCCTGATTGATGTCTTGCCCTTCCTGTCTGTTGTTTAACCTGAATCGTATTGGTCAGAGCTCCTGTTAATCAGAACAGGGCTCCACCCTCCTTCACTCCTATTGGCTCTTCACCTAAATGACCTATGTGTACTTGTCTTATCTTGTTCTCCCAGTATCCTCACTCACACTCCCACCCATATTCCCACAAACATTCCTGCCCACATTCCCACCCCATTACCCACTGGTTAGCCTCAGTTTTCAGGAGATGTGTCTAAATTGGCATTTAAGCCCAGTTGTTCAATACAAGTCAGATTGATTTTAATGGGATATTTTGCACAGCTATGCTAACATAAAATTGCAGTGTTTTTGGATCTTTTTGCTGAAATTGACGTTTATAGCATTTAGCAGATGCTGTTGTCCAGAGTCCACTTACAAAAGTGCTTTTAAAATTAACATTAGCAAATAATTAGAGATGCTGTAATGCTCCATGTGTTGTGCATCATAGCATGTGGAATTGTGCTAATACTAATTAGGTGAACCTTCAGAAGCACAGTTATTACTTTGTGTATTATTAATTAACGCCAAATTCGCTAAACCTCAAAAGAGAGTTAGTATTAAATGTTAAAGCTAACCCAAAAAGAACTGATCTGATATTTCTTTCCTTCCTTTTCTAACTCTGTCTTTGTTCTGACTCTTTCCAGAGTTTTAACTAACTGGGTCAATCGAGACTTGGCGCCCATAGTCTTCAGTCAGGACTCTTTGGATGTCTCTCTTCCTTCTGCACAGTACTGCTAATAACACTGAGTCCTGCTCTCTGTATTCTTTCCCCCAAAAGCACTTTACTCTTCTTTCACTGTTGCTCGTCTTCGAAATTCATGCCTCATAATTTAATGTTTAAATGTCTCTGCTTTTAAATATGTGGGAAGCCGTGTAAGAGTTATGTTTCCCTCTTGGCTTCATTAAATGTGCACAACAAAAGCTCCTTTGGTTCTGTCTCTGTGGTATTGGACTTTACAGAGCTATTGGTACTGGTGGCTTTAAGCAGATGGTAAGGCTCAACCATCTTACTGTCTCCTTCCCTCTTCCCACTCCCCTCAACCACTTTTACCTTTTGTTCTCCTTTCCTACTTGTTCTGCCTTATGGATTTGGTGTGTTTCTCTAGTTCCTCTCTTCCCTACCACTTTATTCTTGCTTTTTGCATGCTGTCTGCTGTAATAGGTTTTTGGTTTGATTGATTTGCCAGTTGGTACAGTAGTATGCAAAAGTTTGAGCACCCCTGGTCTAATTACATGTTTTGTTGATTTTCTGTAAATTAGTTATGATGCCCTCTACAGTGAACAGACTTACATTTGGCAAATTGTAGTGCACAATTAAATTTTTTTTGTTCTATTTCTTTGTGAGTTTAACACGTTGAGGGGAAAAAATAAAACATGAAATTAGGGCTGGGCAATAAAACGATAACGATAATTATTGTGATTGTATTGTGAATTATTGTGAACTTTCCTCAACAGAAATATAAGAAACGTTCAATAAATGTTCAATATAACAGACCATTCTTACACTTCTGCGTTCTAGCGACAGCCCTGGTGGCATTTTCTACTGCAAGGAAAGCGGCACTACTGTTGTCGCCACAAGAGGGCACACTTCCAAGTTTTTCGACATGATTAGAAAGGGAGGGGGCGACGAGTAAAATGAGTCACCAAGTATACTTTAGCAACGTCTGAAATGTGGAGTTATATATTCCCTGTTTGAGTGGAGCGATCAGTAATCGGTAATCCAAGTGTGAGTGATGAGATAATTGGCGTAACTGTACTGGCTTAGAGTGAACTCACCTCTTTCCTCACATCCTAGCAATCTTTAGCAGCGTTAAATCACGTCTGCTTCTCGCAACTACAGCACTGTTACAGCGCTCACTCATATTTTAGTATTAGTGCATTCCCAAGCAACAAAAGTGAAAGAGCGCTGCACTGATTTAAACGAAAGTAAATTGCAGATGCTGTGTGTGTGGCAGTGGAGAGTGAGAGAACTTGAAGCAGTGCTCTGTCACTCGCACAGCATGGCCGAATTGATGTTACTGTAGATCAAAAAAGCACCGTTTTCAGTTTAAACGTACCAAAAAGGAGGACTCTGTTTGTCTAGTGTGAGAGATTCACACTGCGTTTAATGCTTTTACGCAGCGAGCATCAGATATATTGTGGTTCTTCCATCCCTCAAACTACTATGATGGAATAGAGAAATCCAGATGTTTGCTGGCTGGTGTTTGAATACTGTGATATGCTCTGACATGGATGTGGTAGGAGTGATAAGAATAAGGCAGTGTGATCCATCTTTCGACATACCGCTATTGTTTGCTGTTCATATTAGGTTGACGTTGTTGAGAAACTGTGCAGTTTAGCACTTGTGACCGGATAGCCTAGCACTCGTCGTTAGTAAGCTAAAATAATCTGTTTTCTTTCTTAAATTATAAATATTACAAAAAAAAAGCACTTTTCCAGCTGATAAAAACAGCTCACCAGAAACTTTCTCCCACTCTCCCATGACAAATTTGTGAAATGTTCCACTGTTTGGCGAGTTTTTGTCAAGTTCCAACCTTAAAGGATAGTTAAAACGGCAATTAATCACTTGGGAACAAAAATAAGTCTTCAAACTTGAAAGAAATAATGATTTGACATTTATTGCAATATCGTATATCGCATATATTATAAAGTGATAACATTTTTGACTGTATCGCCCAGCCCTACATGAAATGTAAAGTGTGCCATAACTTTTGCACAGGTCACATTTTATGTTTTCTCCCATATGTTAAGTTCTGCAAATAAACAGTAATTATGCATTTAAATGTGTAGAAGTGTGTCCTCTGTGGAGGATATTTTAACATGTAATGTAAATGAGTGAGTATCACTGAGGGTTTGTGCAGTTCATAGTAAATCTTCAAAGTTCGTATCATTTGTATTTAGGTATTGCATACATAAGTAGTAACTTCAAAGTAAATCTGAGGATGTTAATACTTAATGCTACAGATAAGATACATTACTGTGCAAAAGTCTGCGATTATTTTCTATAAAGCTCCAGCCTTAGCACAGCAATGGCCTACCAACACTTTAGCAACCACTTGTGATGGCATACCAACGGTCTAGCAACCCCTTTGCAACCACCTGGGGAAACCATAGCAATGGCCTAGCAACATCTTGGCCACCCCAAAGGATTTTAATTAATGGCCTAGCATCACCTTAGCAACCACCTGGGGTACCATAGCAACAGCCAGCTATACCTTAACAACCACCTGGAAAACCAGAGCAACAGTCTACCAGCCTACCTTGGCAACCATCTAACAACCACAAAACAATGCCCCAATTAAAAAATGATTAAACAGTTTATCATTCAGCCCTTCTAGATATTAGATAATGATTGGGTTGCTGCTAGGAGAGAGTTGGAAATAGTTAAATGAACTCATGTATACAGAAAGTCACTACCTTTTGTAAACAATCGTGTTGTTTCTTAACATAATTTTAAGTGCCTAGGGCTTTTGCACAGTACTGTCTGCACATTGAATTATTTAATTTTTTTGGTCTAACTTTGCCTTTTCTGTTTCTGCATGCAGAAGAAGACGCTGAGGAGGCAGAGGAAGCAGTTGAGGCTGCAGCAGAGGTAGAGGCTGTAGCAGAGGCTAATGGAGAGGAGGCGGGACCTGTGGAGCTGGCTGCAGAGGTTAACGGAGAGGAGGCGGCCCCTGTGGAGACCGTGGTAGAGACGGTCGCGGAGACAGTCGCCGAGACGGCGGAGGTGGTTGCCGAGGTGGCCGTGGTTGTCGCGGAAGCAGCGGAAGAGGTGGCGGCTGTGGCTGAGGAGGTGGAGCAGGTGGCAGAGAAGGTGGAGGCCGCAGCGGAGGCACTGGAAGCTCCCGTGGTTGCTGCCGAGGAACCAGCTGCCGCTGCCCCAGAGGAGCCTGCAGCCGAGAGCAACGGTACGCCACCAGCCTCACAGGAGGAGGCAACGACAGAGGCTGCCAATGCAGAGGCCTGATCGGCCTTAGGGTACATGCGCACTTAAAACCAAAAAAGCCCGAACGCACACATACATTCTCGCCCATATGTACTACATGGCAAAAACCTGGTCAAAAAGAGAGGCCATTTAGCACACTGGCATATCTCCCACTCATAAAGTGGTAACATAGATACACTACCATTATAGAACAACAGACCCACATTGTAAAACTAGATGCAACAGGCACTTTCCTAACTCTCAGCTTTCCATAGGTTACTATAGCGTTTCTCGTGTCTTTGGTTTTGGCAGTTATTTATTTGTGCGGGAGAGACATCTGCTGAATGGTAAAGGGTGTTTAAAAGGGAATCACACCTTTTCTTTTAAGTCATTCAGAGTGATTTGATGTGAAATGCTTCCATTCTAGAGAAACATGCCGATTCAGAATTGTTCACAGTGGTGGTGATGGGAACCAGACGTCTGAAGCGTTTAATGCCTTAAAAAGCTCAAAGAAAGTTGTATCATGAATGGGTTCCGAATGTGTTGCCTTATGCACGAGACATTGTTTTGTTAAATTGTTTTGAGAGAATAAAGATTCTGATTCTGTTCCTGAGATTTTGGCCAAAGCTTATTTTTCAAAAGCTGTTCACATTGGAGGGGTACATGTAGGGCATTGTAAAGCAAAATAGTAGAAAACATAGTTTTTTGCAGATGTACTTCTATTTTACTATTATCAACGTTGCACCTAAAATTTCAGACACATGTAGGTGTCATGGTGGTTTTGGATAGTAAATAAAATGGCTGTATTTGCATTGTAAACATTATAACCCCTGGTTCCTATCACCACCACTGTGAAGGAATTGGAATAATTTCACATGACTTTTAATGACTGAATTATGCAGAAATTTAGAAAAAAATTGGTGGAATTCCCCTTTAAATGGAGTAGTATTATAAGATTGTATCCTCTCATGCTGTATACCTCTGCAATGGTGAATACTGGTCATTTTTAGTTCTAATTAGTTAATAATGTGTATATTTCTGTTGACAGTTCTGGAATTTACTGGAGATGTTTGAAACCTTTTTCAGAATTAATAACTCAATAGTTATGTATTTCCTGCTTGGATATAATTCCCTTGTTAACAGGGACAGAAGCTACACTTGGAGACAATACTTGCAGTTAAGGAAGTAATGAAAATGACCTGCTTAATTTCAGGAGACTTAGAAAACACTGTGAAGATGCTGCTTTATTAATGAAACGTTACCAAAAATCCCACCCAGCAAGCCCTTTTCCTCCTCATCTTCCTCATCTACTCTTCTTTTGACCTTTTCTCTCGCACACATTTACTTCTATGCACCTCTTACTCAACCTCACTGTTTACAATCTGAGCCAGCCTGTAACTGCTAACCTTTAGCCTTACCTCCTCTAAAATGCATGCAAAAATATGTGCATACAGTTCTGTTTGAAATTATGTTGTTGTATTAGAATATTTGGTAATGCTTTGTCTAAATTTCATAAAGGCCTTTGCGCTTTTCTGCCAGATATCACTGGTACACGCCAGCTTAATAAGAAGCTTTGTGCCCTAAATCTAACTTTTGGTCTTTTGCTTTTATGAGCCAGCTCTATTTGAGACTGCCAGCTGTGTGTCTGTGATGGTGTGATTTTTCTTTATTATCATCTTTTTTCTTTTTTTTTTTAATATGTAGAGCCTAAAGTATTCTTCTGTATAACCGAAAGGGAACTCGTACTACTAACAAGAAACAAAAGTATTTGTGTGGTCATTCCAATTGCTTCTTTAACTGACCTAAGTAGTCATGTGATCAAAGTGTGGTCAAGGGAATTCAAGCCATTAATAAAAGTCTTTAACTCAAAATATGTTTTGTGTTTAATTTGTCTCTTAATTTGGTCTGTTTTTGCCAAACACGACATCCTAGAAATTTCAACCTCAGAGTTTTGTAGGAAACCACACTTCCTGCGTATAGATTCACATTCATTATGAAGGATACAAGATAGCTTATAAATGTGACTCTGCCACTCTAGCACAGAAAGAGCATCACAGATCCTTTTTCCCCCAGTGGTGTGTGCATTTTTTTAGTGATATTTGGCAGTAAGGCCTGATATGTTGACGCTATATTATGTGTGGTGGACCTACCAAGACCTGATTTGCATGCTTTTTGTCTCACTTCCTGAAGGAGAATTGGCTCTAATGAATTAGTCCTTTCATTAGACACAAGCTTTTACAAAGAGAATGCATGCACATGCACAGAAGCACAGACACCTTTGACTTTTTCCTTCTGCTGTATCCTTCCTCCATTGTATGCCTCATTAACGTTGTTGGGCTGAGGTTTGAAAACGTGTGAAGGGTCTATTTAAGATGCAAATAGCGTGTCCAGTTGTGATCAACTCCCTGTTGATCACATTTTGGTAACAGTAACCTCAAAAACTACTCTTGGCTATTGTACTTTTAATATTTATTAAAGAAAAGTTTGCAGATTAGTACAGTTAGCAGTAATACCAGTAATAATGCTGTCCAAATAAAACCATTTCACACACATTTTCTAAGCCGCTTTATCCTTCTGGGGGAGCTGGAGCCTATGCCAGCGGTCATTGGGAGGAAGGCAGGAAACACCCTGGATAGGCCGCCAGTCCATCCTAATAAAACCGTGAATCTCCCAAATAGTAAATTTACAGGAGAGGACAAGAACCTTCTTAACTTTTATTAATCTAAGTTAATGTAGAGATTTTACTCCAAATAATTTTGGAGCATTTCTGATGTGTGCCAATTATTTTTTTCCAGAGAGTGGCAATATGGAAAATGTCCATCTTTCTGATATGCTTCATTTAGATAAGATTTTATTATTTTGGTTAACTTTGTCATTCGGAAGAGGGACAGTCTTTTAATAAAATAAGGCTGAAATTAAGCTGTCGACAAAGAAAAGATAACTTTTCAGTGAAGAGTTCGAAGGATCTCAGAATTACAGGAGGTATCTGATTGTGTGCTTCTTACCATAAATATGGTGTTAAGTCTCTTCACCAGGTTAGAATTTTAAGAGTATTGTGACCAAATAATCCTCAAATTCCAATGTGTTTTTTTTTTATTTGTTTCATTTAATAATGGAGTGGAACTAGACTTTAGTCTACTGCAGTGGTCAGCAATCCTGGTCCTGGAGATCTATCCGAGTCTAGTTCCAGCCACAACCTGCCTCACCTGCCCCAGCTTATTAACTTCTCTAAAAGTATTTGATTGGTTGCATCAGATGCTGATTGGAACCAAACTGTGCAGGAAAGTAGATCTCCAGGAGGAGGTTTAGTTGCCACTGATGTACTGGATACATGAGTTCCTGCTGTCTGGATAAATTATGGTTTGGCTCGTCGGTTTTGTCTTTCAGTGGCCCAAGAGAATGTAGAAATAGCTGCTGCTTCTGTGGTGGAGAAGCCATTGGTGGTTCCTGTAGAGGAGGAAATTCTGGTGATAGAAGCTATAGCACCACTTGAGGCTGAGCCAGAAAAGCTAGCAGAGGGTCCAGCTGCACCAGTAGTTGAGGAGGCATCAACTCCCCCAACCACAGAGGCAACTCCAGTCGATCCTCCAATAGTAGAGGTACCAGTTGTCCCAACAACAGAGGAAGCACCTGTTGCTGCAGTAACTGAAGAGGTATCAGTTACCCCTACAACAGAGGAAGCTACAGTTGCCACAACACTAGAGGAAGTAAATGTTGCCCCAGTTGCTGATGAGGCACTGATTACCCCAGATACAGTGGAAGCACTTGTTGCCCCAGCAGTAGAAGAAGCACCAGTTACCCCAACGTCAGAGGAATCCCCTGTTCCTCCAGAAGTAGAAGAGGCACCAGTTATCCCAATAGCAGAGGAGGTTCCTTTTGCCCCAGTTCCTGAAGAGGCACCAGTTACCCCAATAGCAGAGGAGGTTCCTGTTGCCCCAGTTCCTGAAGAGGCACCAGTTACCCCAATAACAGAGGAGGTTTCTGTTGCCGTAGTTGCTGAAGAGGCACCAGTTGCCCCTGTAGCAGAGGAGGTTCCTGTTGTCCCAGCTGCTGAAGAGGCACCAGATGTCCCAATAGCAGAGGAGGTTCCTGTTGCCGTAGTTGCTGAAGAGGCACCAGTTACCCCAACAACAGAACTAGCAGCAGTTGCTGAGGTAGCTGTTGTTCCAGAAGTTGTCCCAGTCATACTAGAAGGTGAGGCCGTGGCCATCACAGAGCAAGTAGCAGAAAGTTCAGAGGGAGTTGCAGAAAGTCCTGTTGTGGAAGCTCCAGAAGAAGTACCAGCAAGTCCAGCTGTGGAGGTAGCGACAAGTGAAATTGAGCCAGCAGTGGAAAGTCAGGTGATTGCAGAGGCAACCACTGCAGTTGAGACAGTGGCATCCCCAGCTGATGTGGAAGACCCAGCCCCAGAATCTAAGCGTGAATACATAGTAGTTGTCTTGGAGGGAGCCCCCAAAACAGAAAAGAAACCTAAGGTTCTTGGTGTATCCCCCTTAACTGGCAGGATCATTCCAGCCCCTGATAATGATGAGGAGCCAACAGGACAGGTAACAGGTAATCTGTAATCTGGGACTAATCGTTAAAGTCCCAAAGTCAATATTCTAACTCCCTCTGAAATAACATTACCTTATATGATGCAACATAGGTGTTTGGCTAAATAAACAGTTTATGCACATTATTATTGTAAGAAGCCATGTTGTATGAATAGACAGTAACTCGTCTGTCATCCCAGCCACTGTTGAAAGGCATTTCCCAGCATATAAAGCACATAGTTGTGACTTCCGATTGTCATGATACTTTCCATACCTGTTGTACTCTGAAATACGATAACTAGTCAATGTTTTAATTATGATACACACAAATTAGATTTAGCTGTCCAAGGGTGGATAGTGGCTAAATATAATTGAAGGAAAAAAACAAACATATTTGTGATTTTATTTTCTTCTCTCTCACTTAAAGGGCAAGCGCCGCCTGCTTAAGATCCAGATGTCCTGACTTGAGCCAAAAGGGTCAGTAAGGTAAAACCTGCTGATCCTTTTTACTTTCACTTTTATCTAGTAGTTGTGTTTATATATATATATATATATATATATATATATATATATATATATATATATATATATATATATATACATACACACACACACACTATATTGCCAAAAGTATTCACTCACCCATCCAAATCATTAAATTCAGGTGTTCCAATCACTTCCATGGCCACAGGTGTATAAACTCTTAATGCTTCAGCAGACCAAGAGATTTTGGACAATTTCATGCTCCCAACTTTGTGGGAACAGTTTGGGGAGTTTGGCCCCTTCCTGTTCCAACATGACTGCGCACCAGTGCACAAAGCAAGGTCCATAAAGACATGGATGAGCGAGTTTGGTATAGAAGAACTTGACTGGCCTGCACAGAGTCCTGACCTCAACCTGATAGGTTGGGATGAATTAGAGCGGAGACTGCGAGCCAGGCCTTCTCGTCCAACATCGGTATCTGACCTCACAAATGCGCTTCTGAAAGAATGGTCAAACATACCCATAAACACACTCCTAAACCTTGTGGAAAGCCTTCCCAGAAGAGTTGAAGCTGTTATAGCTGCAAAGGGTGGGCCGACATCATATTAAACCCTATGGATTAAGAATGGGATGTCACTCAAGTTCATATGCATCTTCTGGAAAGGCGTTACACTACATGTTGGAACTTTGCTGTGAGGCTTTGATTGCAACCCATCTCAAAGGTACTGGATGAAGCTCCATCACACCAGAGAATTCAGTTCCGCTGCTCCACAGCTCAATGCTGGGGGGTTTAATACCCCTCTAGATGCCACTTCGCATTGGACATAGTGACCTTAGGATCATGTGCAGCCACTTCAGAGTGCTTTTCTATGGAAATTATACAAGCTGTGTTTTTACAGCTGAGCACCGGGGTCAGCAATTGGTACACCTTAAGGTAGCTGAATTCATTCGTTAGAAGGGGTGTCTGGATACTTTTGGACATAGTGTATTTACAGTGCAATCTGGTGTCTTTGAGAGACTTTTTTTTATATTTGGTACACTCAATTTGACAATTAATTCAGAGTTAACTGGAAAACATTATGCTTAAGCTTTTAACAGGAGTCATTCATGGCAGTCATTTGTTAGATGTGAAATAGTTAATTGTAGAGAAACTTACAGACTCAGATTTCTTTACAGTGGTGGTGATACAAATCAGGGGTTGTAAGGCAGGAATAGCCTTTTTATTTACTGAAATAATCCAAAATCATTTTATGTGTGATGCTGATAATGGTAAAACAGTGGTTAAAAGGTTTTCTTTTGGTATTGTTTTGCCTTACGATGGCCTGCATGCACCTCCACCATGAATGTATATACTTTTTAGGCGAATCTCAAACTATCGTATGTAAAAACTTTCTGGTTCCTGTCACCACCACTGAACAATTCTGACTCGATAAGTTCCTCTAGAAAGGAGCATTTCACATCAAACCACACTGAATTTAATTTAGTCATGCAGAGAGTTCCTTTTTAAGACCCATGAACTATAGTTTAACACAACTCCTCAACTGTCTCATTCTCTCTCATTCACAGTCAGAAGTCCCGTGTTAGTTAACCTGTTCCCTGATGAAGAATAAGGGATGTGCCTTCCCCCCAACTGTCTATCTCCTATCTGTCACTTTGATCTCACCTTCGCTTTGGACTGTTGGATTCATCGGCAGTGATAGAGCCCTGGCTGTAACTCCTAAACGATGCTGGTTTATCACACTATTCAGATTATCTGAAATCTTATCTATTTACGTTTAACTTTTTCAGGCATTACTGGAACTTGTTTACTTCATTTGAACATACACTGCTTAACAGTCTTCGATAACTCTGTGGAATACACTTTTATCTATTGATATTTATTCTTTTATTCACTTGACAGACACAGATGGTTGAACTGTCTAACTCCTGGATAATTTTTGGGATATCTGGGTATCTTGATATTTACAATGTGAAAATTGTGAAGGATCAGGTTATATTTTACCCTGTTTAGTTAGAGGTTCTGTCATTTCCTAACCACTACATCATGGATAAAGCTGGTAAAGGAATAGTTTACCCTACCTCACTCTAGTTGGCCATATTTTCTCATTGCCGTGATATCAGCTGCTATGTCATCAGGCCAAAGACACCCACAGTTTCCAAAATTAAAAGGGGACCTCCACTAATTTTCAGTAGTTGAGATGTAAACAAAGTCATTAGAGTGAAACAGCTAATTGTAGAGAACTTGCGGACTCAGATATCTTTACAGTGGTGGTGATAGGAAACAGGGGTCAAGATTTCCACATTACAAATATAGCCATTTCACACAATTTCTAAACCACTTATCCTTCTGGGTTGCAGGGGGAGCCGGAGCCTATCCCAGCAATCATTGGGCAGAAGGCTAGCCATTCCAACTATCCAAAACCACTTGAAAACTCTCCTGAGTTTTTATATGCAATACATTTTCTTTGGGACTGTTTTGCCTTCAATTTCCTTATCATAACTCTCCACCATTAATTTTTGAAAAATATGTTTTAGGCCAAAACCTCTCAAAACTATCATAAAACAGTGTCTCAGGCATCATGCAGCAAATTCCAAACCATTTCTTGTATTAATTTTATGTGAGAAAAGCTTTTAGAGGCAATAAACACTTCAAACGTCTGGTTCCTATCACCACCACTGTGAGCAATTCTGACTCTAGTTTCTCTAGAACTAAGCATTTGGTATCAAACCATTCTGAATGACCATTTTGTCCGATTCTTAATCGTTTAATTATGCAGAAGTTCTGAAATATTGGTGGAATTCCCCTTTGAAGTACTGCCATGTTTACATGCAAGTCAGAGAGCTTTCCAGCCCAGCTCTTGGCTGTTCCTTTCTCAGGCACCTTTTGAAATGAAATTCACTATTTTTTTAGTCTTCAGCCAAAAATGTATAGATATCATTTCAGGAGCCGTTTTTACACTGTGACATAACCATATTAAAACACTCCATTATTGGCGTATATGAGAAACACTGGCCAGTTTCTACACCTTTCTACCTCACCTTAACTCTAGCTGCTGATCCTTCACAGTATTTCTCCTGGAAAAAGAGAAAAAAAAGTCTTCTTCTTTTCACACTTTGTGATAACCAGCAATGGGATAGGTTAACTGTGAAAGGTTGAAGATGAGAGCTGCACTTTTACTATTAACCTATTCATTATTCACTACATTTTCATAACCAGCGAAGTTTCTTCCATTTCGTATTTTCATGTCCAGCTGAGCTTGTATCGGCAAATGTGAATCCCAAATGTTTTACACTTCATCGAGGACCAGAACTCAGTATTCCTTTACCTTTTTTACACATCCATTCTGTTACTAGAGGTCGCTGACCTTAGGTCAGTCTGTTGATTGTCCATTTACATGGGGCAACCACTTTTAGAAGAAGCTTATTACACTTCAGCTGCGCAGTATTATCCTAGTAATGGTAACAGTAAGAGTAAAGCTTGTGTCCAGTTATTGTTTCAGAGGCTTGTAGTCGAGGTTTTGCTTGCCTAAGTCAACTAAAGCTTTCTGAGCCTTCGCAATTAAAGAATTGTTTCAGTTCTTGCGTGTGGGTCATCTAGTATGTAGAGAATAATTCAGTTTTTTTTTTTTCAAATTCGTTCGAAGAAGGGGCTCTGAATGTAGACTTGAATAATGTAGTGTGGGTTTATTCAGTGTGTCTGTCTTTGAAACTTTCCTGTTATGGTTTGACGGATGTGTAGAGTTCTGTGCTATCCTGAGCCTAGCCATTGCTTGAGAATGTAGGCAGAGTATTGTGTGATTTAAATAAAAAGGGAGTCAAAATTGTGTTGGTGTCCAGTATATTTTTGTGTGTGTGGGTGTGTGTCTTTTACTAGCAGTGGTGGGTATTCACTAGTTACCATTAAAAAAATGATGGATTTTGTACTTGCATGACTATTTTCAAACGCAAATACTTTTATTTCTAACTCAAGTATATTTGCAAAGAAAGGAATCAACTACGTTTTAACATTTATAGTTTTATTTTAGACCAAAAGGATCTCAAAAAGAGTACATGCAAAAGTTTGAACACACCCAGTCAAACGTTTTGTTAATATTCTAAGTGAAAATACATGAGCACATCCTCTAAAGAGAACACTTACATATGGCATTTTTTGTTAAATGTAGTACAAAATATCTATTTATTTATTGAGTTTAACACATTGGAGAAAAAAATGAGGCAAGATTTACTGTAACTTTTGCACAGTCCACATTTTATAGTTATTTTTACCCAAAATGTTAAATTCAGCAAATAAACAGTAATTGTGCCTTAAAATGCCCCTTATATGTGTGTATATATATATATATATATATATATATATATATATATATATATATATATATATATATATATATATATATATATATGTACACACTGTGGTGCTGAGAATGATCCACCACCCAAATAATACCTGTTCTGTGAGGGTCCATGGGGGTCCTGACCACTGAAGAACAGGGTAAAAGGGGCTAACAAAGTATGCAGAGAAACAGATGGACTACTACATCTTTTGAGTGCACCTATATGGTTAGTAGAGCTGATAAAATGGACAGTGAGCGTAGAAACAAGGAGGTGGTCATAATGTCATGCCTGATTGGTGTATATATGGTGAGTAGTTAGGTTGTAGATTTAGGGTGCTGTCAGATTTCTCCCACTGATAAAGTGGCTTTTTCAGTCTCTGGTATGTTAAGTCAGACTTCATATGAAACAAAGAGGCCAAAATAAAGGTGTGGGATGCAAAAACCTCAATAATAACTGTATTCTATACATAATATTCCACCTCTGGTACAGTGTCATTTATTTATTCTTCACTTATACTACAGTTTTTTTCATTTGCTCATCGCGTGTGCCTAGTTGGTGTGCCTATTTCATTCGATGACAGATCTAACTCTTAGTGACTTCTAATGATTATTTTCTGACATAATCCATGGGTATATAATAGAGGTAAAATATAAACAGTAAATAAAAATCTGATGTTTGAACAGAACCAACTATACCTACTGATCATCTGAAGATTTGTCCAGACGCTAAGTAAATTCTAATGAGGTGCCCCCGTTGCTGACACAACTTTTGTAATCTCCATTGAAATGCATTGACTTACAGAATGGGACGCACTGGAGCAGCAGAAAGTGTCACTGCCCAATACCTAGTGTCGGCTACTGGGCTGTGGAACAGTGGAACTGGGTTCTCTGGAGTGATAGAGCTCCATCTAATACCTTTTGGATGAGTTGGAGAAGATCCAGAACTGACCATCCAACAAGTACCTGACCTCATTAATGCTCTTGTTGCAGGTCAAAACACCAGACATACGCTAAGTCTAGTCTTGGCCTTAAAATGAGTCTGGTAAATGAGGTGTTTATTATTATTATTATTATTATTATTACTTCTACTCATGTTAATGTAAGATATACCAATAAGGAAGGAAATTTAAGGAAATTTACCAATATACACTCACCAGGCACTTTAATAGGAACACCTGTACACTTAGTTATTTATGCAAGTTTTTAATCAGCCAGTCTTGTGGGAGCAATGTAGTGCACAAAACTATCAATCATCAGAAACTCAACTATGTCTTCATACTCCAATGTTATTTCAACTTAATCTCTGTTCGCTGCATCTGTAAAATGCCCTCCGTAAACACCACTAATTAGACAGAGGGGGTGTGGAGAGCAAGGCCTTTGTTCCGAGAGGGAAAAGCACACATTACATGCAGTAGCTTTTGTGTGAAATATATTGTATCATGTTCTTCCTACTGAGTGTATTTCTTATAGATAATGACAAGAGCCATGACGATATCTGTGAGAGTGAAGGAGTGAGCTAATTAAGAATGTAACTGCCATTAGAGCTGTCAGGGAGCAGAGTGCGCGTGGCAAGGCGCTGCCATTGTGGCGTGGTGTTCTAACAACAGCGTCCACAAAAATGTGGGGAAAAATGTAACCTCAGTGATTTTGAATGTGGCATGATTGTTGGTGTCAGGTGGGATGATTTGAGTATTTCTATAACTGCTGTCTAGTGGGATTTTCACAGTCTCTACAGTTTGCTTAGAATGATGCAATAAAGAAAAACATCCAGTGAGCAGCAGTTCTGCAAATGTAAATGCCATGTTGTTGGGAGAGGTCAACTGAGAATGGACAGACTGGTTCAAGCTGACATAAAGGCTACGGTAACTCAGACAACCAATCTAGACAATTGTGCTGAGCAGAAAAGCATCTCAGAATTCACATCATCAAACTTTGAGGAGGATGGGCTACAACAGCAGAAGATAACATCAGATTCCAATTCTGTCAGCCAAGAACAGAAAGCTGAGACTGTTGGGAGCACAAACTCACCAAAATTAGACAGTTAAAGACTGGAAAAACATAGCCTGGTCTAATGATTCTCAATTTCTGCTGAGGCACACAGATGGTAGGGTCAGAATTTGGTGCCAACAGCATGAATTCATGGACCCATCCTGCTTTGTGTTGATGGTCCAGGCTGGTGGATTTGGTGTAATGGTGTGAGGAATGTTTTCTTGGCACACTTTGGGCCTGTTCATACTAATCGTTCATTGCCTGAATGCCACAGTCTATTTAAGTATTGTTGCTGACCATGTGCATCCCTTCAGGGCCACAGTTTCCCATCTTCTAATGGCTACTTCCAGCATGATGATGCACCACAAAGCAAAAGTAATTTCAAACTGGTTTCATGAACATGACGGTGAGTTCAGTGTTCTTCAGTGGCCTTTCTAGTCACCGGCTCTGAATCCGAAAGAAAGGTAGAACAGGAGATTCGCAGCATGAAAGATCTGCAGGAATTGCATGATGCAGACCAGAATATAGAAGTGATGTTTTCAACATCTTGTGGAATCCATGCCACGAAGAACTGAGGCTGTTTTAAGAACCAAAGGAGGCCATGATAAGTATTAGTGTTGTGTTCCTAATACAGAGCTCAGTAACTGCATATGAAGTAAATAAATAAAAAAGCTATAATAAATAATACTATAAGTTATTATTATAATAAATCCCATTTGACGTTGCGAGTGTGACCTCAGAAGCAGTTAGTGGCGTCAGAAGCGGAGCGGGACGTCGTGACGTCACGCCGAGTGTTTGTGCAAGCGCTGCGGGCCGGAGGAGCTTCAGCTCAGTCGATTCTACAAGCAAAGAAAAAGAGAGAACTAAAAGAACAAAATCATCTAGCAGAGCTTTAAACCTTCACTGCTCGGCGTGGACGCGACTGTTTGCCTGCAACCTGTCCGTTTCTGCAAGCAGGCATGAACTTTTAGGAGCCACAGTATCGCAATGAACGACGGAGTTACATCGTTAGCTTAGCTTAGCTTAGCCAGCTATTTATTTATTTACGTAGCTACGTTGCTGTTAGCTGAAGCTAATAGCTAGCGGCTAACGGCGCTTTAAATCTAAGCAAAACGCAACGGCGTTTGATTTCGGAATAAACAACGACCGTGACAGACGGTGAGAACATGAGTCCCTTTTATGTCTTTGAGCAGTTTATTAGCTTTTAAATTCCAATTAACGCTGATTAGGACTCAGCTGAAGTCGGCTTCTTATTCGCCAGGTTCTTGTTCGAATTTTCCCGTTCCACCTTAAATGGCGCAGCAGCTACATTCAGGCGCCAGGGGCACCAGAATGCAACTGCTGCACCATTTAAGGTGGAACGGGAAATTTTGGACAAGAAGCTGGCGTACAGAGGGCCTGGCCTGCTAATGCTAGCAGGCCTTTAGTTTGGCTGCTGTTTACATTTGTGTGGCAGTTAAGTCTCACCATAAAACTGTTCTCCGTATAATGAAACCCTTCCAAACTGAGACACTTTTTATCGCTAGTGAGTCAAAGTGAATGCATTTGTAGACTAAAGTTACTAGCTAGAAAAAATAACAGGCTTGCCGGCTAAAATCAGTGAATGTACTTCGGACTGTAGGCGTTGAAATGTAAGCAAAGCTCATGTTAAAGGGTAATTCCACCGATTTTTCAAAATTTCAGCAAAAATCAGTAGTTGAGTTGTAAATAATGTAGTAACAGGGTGGTTTACTGTGAAATGGTTCAGTGTGGAGAACCGTACTGACTCAGATTTCTTTAGAGTGGTGGTGGCAGAAATCAGACATCAAGATTTCTACAACAGTTATTTTATTGACTATCCAAAATGACCAAACATCTTTTGAGTTTTTATATGTAGGTTAGATTATGTTAAAATATTTGTAAATCGGGGGAAAAAAAGAGTTTTCTTTGGGGACTGTTTTGTCTTGCAGCATGTCGTGCATGTATTTAAAAAACACGATTTCAGATCAGAACCTACTTGCAAAACTAAGTCTCAGACATCATGTAACATATTTGTAAATGTTTTTGTAACAACGGTCTGCAAGGGACGATTTAGAGGCATTAAACTCTTTAGATGTCTGGTTCCTGTCACCACCACTATGAACAATTCTGACTAAATTTCTGTAGAACAGAGCGTCTCACATCAAGCCACTCTGAATGACTTTGTTTACAACTTAATGTTGTAATTTTGTGGAAATTTTGAGAAATGGGTGGGATTCCCCCATAAAGATGTGAAGGTTTGTTCTGTTATCACTTGCAGCAGTGAGACACTCATTTGTTTATGGTAAGGTTTACGTTGCTGTTGGGGGAGTGACATGCTGTGCCATAGCAGGACTTGCGTTCATTCATACACGTTTTCTCCTTTCCTGGTTTTCTTAAATGTTAGCCAACAGGGCACTTTGTCCCTTGTGCTTTCGTCCACATTGGTTGCAGGAAATACTGAGCTAAAGGGGCAACCAGCCAACATCAGATCCAGCACAAAC